CCCCATTTCACCCTGATAAAAAAAACCTACCACCTCCCAAGTCTCCTCCGCGTCTCCTCCTTGCATCCCTCACATTACGGGCCGGGCTTCGTATCCTCCACCCTTGTTTTATTCTCACAATTCGACCTCATCTTCGTTTCGCACTCGACCCAGTCGTGCAGTCTGACGTGCTTATAGCATGTGCGGCAGATGATCTGGTGGTATGTGCACATTTTGTTGGTGGGGTTGGTGGAGATAGTGGGTTGATAGAATAAGATATAGTGATTTGGTTCTTAGGTTTGTGTTTGTGTTTGTATTTGAGCTGTGAGGATGGTAGGAAGGCGATGTAGGTATGCTGGTATTGCTTTAGTTTCTTTAGTTGGTTGCTGGTGCTTAAAAACTTTTGTGTTGCGTGTTTGGTGCTTTGGGTGGTTGTTGCTGATGGAGGATGGGATTTCTCATACACATAGTTCTGGTTCCATCGTGATTGTATTACTGCGTATGTGTGAATAGCGAGGTTGAGTCTCTGAATAAACTTTTCTGGTGAATGTTCAGATATCTCTTAATCATCCTCATAATCATCATTATTAACCACAAAGCAAACAAAGAATTTAGGTAAAGATTATTATAAAGTATTACTCAAGTGTCGGCTAGATGTGAACTGACAGTACTAACTATTTAATATAATTTAATGGCTCTGGTATATTTCCCACTATCGCATCACTTATAGAGTTAGTCACAGTACTTATATAACTAGTCTCCGTAAACTTCCACCTCCTTTACAAACCCAACAGACCCAAAGTCTAGGATATAATACCTGCCTGCCTTAAGTTCGCACATCTATTTTCAGGCGAACTTTCGTTTTATCTGGGTGTATTAGGAAGGAGCAATATAAGTTAAAACCAGTCTACACCTAGTTTCCAAACCAAACAGACCTAAAGACTCTGACAGAGGATTTCATAATCGTAGGAACAGTATTCCGTCTGCGCCCAGAGTAACAGGATTCGATGCATGTATGACTTGAGTTGGCAAGTCTACTTCTGATTGTATGCTGTATTTAGTCTTATGGGGGGATACTGTAGCGAGTACAAGTAGGGTAATACATAGCCAGGTCATTCACGCATAACAACACTCAGGAAACATGCAATTGGAATCAGTTCATCAAAAAAAACAAAGAGAAACAATGTGAAAAATGGATAATTTTTGACCCCAAAGATATACGCCAAATAACTCCATCAGCATCTCTCATAGAAAATCTGTTTGGACAACATCCATCCATATACATAAAACAGGTATCATCAATCTACCACCACCTTTACTTAATCCTTTACCTACGACCTCTTCCACGAGGGGACTTCATAACTCTACTACCTCCTCTACCCCCAGAAGCTCCATGTCTCTTATCTTCCCCTAATCCCCTTCGCCCATTTGCGATTCCACCCCTCCCGCTACCACCTCTAGGTCCGCCACGACCCCGTCCACCTCTAGAGTCACCTCTGAAGTTCCCTCTCGAGTCACCGCCAGTTTTCTTTTTGATAGCTTTGACATCATCTTCATCAACATCCATCTCATCGTCCTCATCCTTATCCCTCTTATTCGAGAACTTCAGTCTCCCACCTCTACCTCTCTGCACGGCGTCGCGGCCCTTGATAGCCTTCACATAAGCTCCAACACCACCTTCATCCTCGTCTCCTCCAGCGGGCGTATCAAGAACCATAGCATCGTCATCACTATCACCCCCAAACAGAAGCTTTCCATCCAAGTCGACCTTAGGCTTCGTTCTCGCTGGTGTACGTTGCTTAAGAGGTTTAGTCGAGGAGATATTCGCCAATGCTTTGCGATCCAGAAGGTCCAGAGGCTCGTCCTCGTCCTCGTGGATATAGGTGTTGCCCGTCTTCTTAGCAGCTCTCGTCTTTTTCTTACCGAGGACTTCATTATCAGAAACGTCCGAACCATCCGACTCATCGTCACTACCATAAACAGCCTCGTCGTACTCGCTTTCAAAGTGGCCCTTTCGTTTGCCATTCGCCGCTCCACCATCTTCATCACTTCCTTCAGCACCTTCTGCTTTTGCCGCTTCCTTATGTCGCTTGTTACGCTCCCTAGTTTTGCGGATGTTGGCAATCAGTTTTCGATCTTCTTCCGGACAATACTTGTTGACGAAATCAGCTCCAAATCTTCTGATCATGCGTTCCAGGATATGCTTGACTTTGGCCTTGAAGTGAGCTTTATGCTCGTGACTCCAAATCATTAAGTTAGGAATGAGAGTTTGTAATCGAGGAAGCATCAGCTCTTGCGACAAACTGATAACGCAAACCTTGACGAAACCCAAAACACTACGGACAATCTCTCGGTTCTTGTGAGTAAGAAAGATATCCATTGTTTCAACCAATTCAGCGAGAGTTGCTGAATCAAGTGTTGCGCGGAAATGATAGAGAATACGTGTCAAAGCTGTGATGGAAGCGGAAACCATATGCGACGCCCCTCCTGCCAAACCAGCACTGACCATCGTGAAGTACTCTACGAGATTTGCCGTTACTTTGGGTGCATCAGCTGGCATGTTTGGTACCTTGCTAGTATCAATTGTTGCGCCTGAAGCTGCGACAATCTTTTCTCCCATAAGAATAAGGAGATCGAATGCTGTGGTTCGGGCTTTCTCGTTGACTTCCTTACACGAGATGACAACTTCTGACAAAATCGAAGGGATGAAATGCAGCGAGTCGTCTGGTAAGAATGGAATGAGGGTCGAAATGGCAGCTAAACGGTCTTTTCGAGCAGGGGCAGAGACCTTCTCGGCGCTATTCAACAATAATTGTTGAAGCTCGCTGCTACGCTCTGCTAGGGCTTGTTGACCCATTGGAGATTCGGCAAGACGTGGAATGAGTTTGTATGCTTTCTTTTGAAGTTGTGGATCACTATCCATAATAATTATGAGTGCTGCAATGTTAAATAGTGTGCTGAAGCTGCCTCGTGGAAGGTAAATTGCAATGGTGATTACCAAGTCCATGAGTGTGTGGCTCATTGGTGGCATTTTGTCTGCGGCATTTTGCTCTTTCTGCTTCTGCTTCTCTGCTTGAGTTTGTACACCAGCTTCCGCGAGAGACGATTGCAACATTGTCGTTACCCGCTCGAAAGTATCCATGATCTCTTGAGTAGGGGCTATGCTCAAATATGAGTTGATACACTGTAGAATGTATCCTCTATACTGTGGCAGGGTTTGACTGTAAACATTGAACAAAACTGCAAGCATGTTACTCGCGAATCCTCCAAGATGATCAATGTTCTTTCTAGCGACCGCCTTTGATACTCGAGATTGCAAAACAAGATCCTCATCACCTTCAATTGCCAATATTGATTTGCTGGTGTCAACCAAAGCTTGTAAAGCCCTGCAGATATCGAGCCGCAATTCAACTTGTTTATAAAGAAGATTTGATGCCAGTTCCGCAAACGTCTGATCGAAAGATTCAGTAAGATCTAGTGGAAGATCGCAGTAACCCGGTAACAGTGCCCAAATTTGCTGAACTAATGTTTCGAAAATCTTGATTTCCATCGTCTTCTCAGCATCCCCATTGTCGATAACTCGTTGGAACATCATTTCACTCAGAGGAACAAATTCGGATCTGAAATGGGCCAGATTGGTGTTGCTGACATATTCGCGCAGTACAGGAAGTAACCAAGCTCGACCAGGTTGTCCTGGCACTGGCTTCGCTAGATTGAGAGGAAGAATGTTCAATACGCTCTCTGGTCCCATGGCGCGAATTGCTTTTCCGATTATTTCGTCGGCCTCCTTCTTTCCGGTAAACGAGTCGTTTCCGCGAAGTTCTCCCAAGGTTCTCACAACATCTACCATTATTGGGTCAGCTCGCCATCTTAGGCCATCAAACATTGCCCCAAGGACATTGAAAGTTTCCATCCAAGCCGCTTGGTATTTCACACTCAGAAGCGCAGCTGCCGCCTTGGACAGCTTCGCTAGCACCTTCTCATCATAGATAGAAGGGTCTAAGAGAACCGAATTTGGAATGCAATTTGCCATGAAGGAGATCAAACACTCTGAGGCAGAAACTCGAATGTTATGTGATGAAGAGGCCAAAAACAAAGAAATCATATTGAAGAGTTCCGGGAGTTTGGCAAAGGTCTCCCCGGGTTCAATTTGGGCTGAAACATCATATCCTCTTGAAATAACTGCAATCCATGGCGGGAGAAGCTGAGAATCGTTTTGCGAAGGGTGAAGTTCTGAGATGACCTCGAGAAGCCTTGGTAGTTTGGAGGACGATGTCTCTTTGGCCATTCCTTCAAAAATAATCTCGAAAATCTCGAAAGCTGCCATTGCCATATATTCATTGCTTGACTTTGAAATTGCCAACAAAACCTCGCACAAAGCCTCGATTTTCTTGCTAGGCCAACCTCTTGATGCCGCAGCTACGGTCTTAATCAGTTGTAATGCGTGTATTAAACCCGGCTCGTTTTCTGATGCTCCGGCCTTCTTCTGCTTTTTGGCTTGGTTCGCGCTGGATGCTAGGTCGGTCAAACTCTTGAGCGCACTTTCAGCGCACATGTCAGAGGCGGGATGATCCAAAGCCGGACTTGGTGGGGGGTTCTTGAGAACATTTGCGATAGCTTCTTGGGCTCTTTTCCTGATCTTAGGTCTATGGTCCACTGCCAGAGTTAACAATCCAGCAATTGCCCTTCGAGGACCTATTTCAGTGTACGAAAGTTCCCATGCTGCCGAATCCTGCGCGATGAGTAGCGATTCGAGACAGCCAATTGAAGGCCGAAGTAGAGGGGCATCGGCATCGGCATATGTCAAAGCTGGGGCGAGATTGACGAGGATTTGGGAGAATTTGGAGCGGAGGAGAGGTTGCGGGGCATAAGGCGTAACGACATCGAGAAGGTAGACGACCGAAGTGGCCAATTCTTTATTGACGGCCGTCGTAGATACGGCCTGTCTAAGAAGGGCAAGAAGAGCCGCAAAATAACCAGTTGGGGAGGGGTCGGTTTTCTGTTCTTTGAGGGTCTCTCCTACTGCAGCTAGAACTACCTGTGTCTGCGGGATCAATTAGTATGAAGTTCCACAGCTCCATCCACAGGAACATGGCGATATTAAATGTTTGATATATACCTGTTTCTGACTCTGCAGCTTTGGCGATCGGATCTTGTCGAGCTTTTCTTCGAGAGACATGGCGAAGAAAGGTATCGGCTCTTGCGCCGTGGGATGGGGAAGAAATTCGATACTGGCACAATTTTTGACGATACGATTTTTCCACCGATGCGAAAAACGATAACCAGCGATAAGCGAAAATAGCCAGGGTCGGGGGTGGCAGTAGTGAATCGAGACCCTGGAATCTGGTTGGACCAGTGCGGTTAGCGCCAACGACGTAATAATTTCCCCACAGCGTGTGAGAGCGGTCATTGGTTGGCCTCGTCTTCGGAAGTTCGAGCCCGGTTGCTCGGGGGTTTGGAATTGCTTCCCATGAGCCATCTCCTCGCTCGCTGCCACGGCTGCCCAGTGCTCTTCAACCCTGAAGGTTATTCTACTCGCTACCAACAAGCATTCTGGCCTCAACCCCTTTGTCAAGTTGCGACTTCTACTACACCACTTGTTAACTTCTCATCTCGAACCTTCAACCTTCCGCCTACTTAGGTGCTTTACTTTCTGCAGTCTCTCCTTGACCTTTCTTTCCAACTCTATTTACCCCAAGGCAACCTTATCGCGGCGCAGTTTACTACCCCCATCCCAAGAATTGCAGCCTTGGACAAAAAAACAACCTTTTTTCACCTCTTCCATCACAATCATCATCATGAAGTTTTCTTCCGGTGCTATTCTGGCGCTGCCTCTTCTTGCTGCTGCGTCGCATCAAGAAAGTCCCCTTGAGCAGGCCAAAGCTCAAGCTCAATTCTGGTTCGACAAGATCTCCGCCTACATTCCGACCCCAAGCAAACCACACACACCGGAGGAGGCAGCAGCCAAGGTTGGGGGAAAGACTGTCAACGTTCTGGCTTTGGAAACTTGGGAGGAGACAATTCGATCGAGTGTCAAGCCAACTAGCACAACACCAGAAGAATGGTGGGTTATGATTACTGGAGGAAACAAGACCTGCTTCGGCCATTGCGGTCAAGCAGAGACTGCCTTCAACGAGACGGCGGCTCTTTGGGCGTTTAACCCAAATGCGCCAAATCTCGGATATATCGATTGCGACGACCAACCAGTTCTCTGTAACAGTTGGGGTGCTGGACCACCAAGTCTCTGGATTATGGAAGTTCCAAGTCCCGGTGCACCTGTTGATATCCGTATTAAATCTTTGAATGCAACCACCACCGAGGTCAAGACTTTCACCGACCTCCACGCCTCTAAGGACTGGAAGAGCAAGCCTGTTTATGAAGGCTACTTCCATCCATTTGACGGTCCTCTGGCCAAGTATGGTGTTGCAGTTCCTCTTGGATATGTTTTCTGGGGTTTTGCTGTTGTTCCTAGCTGGGTTTTCATGATTGGTATTTCCTTCCTTAGCAGAACCCTTATGTAAGTTCACATATACTCGTTTATATTCGAGTGTTATACTAACAGCAACTAGGAGCTCACGAACCACACCACCACGCCGACCTGCTGATGCTGCCGCTCCCGGCGCAAGAGTACGTCTTGGAGCTCCTCCAGGAGATGCGATGTCATAGTCAAGTGATCAACTAATGCTCGTGTAGTAAACATTGATGTATGGATGTAATGGAGGATGGTGGAATGTAGAGTGCAGTGAAGAATATGATGGTAATGCCTAGTAGCACAGAAATAGCGTTTGACAAATATAATTCCATTCGGTATCAAAAACAAAATCCTGTCAAACCAACGCCCCTGTGATGTACCTGCTGTCCCTCAAATTTCCCTCTTCCGTGCCAAAGTATGTCCTCCTGCTACAATCAGATTTCTTTTCAGAGCGCGATGCAAAAGTCGACCGATTTTCCCCATCTGCGTGCCCTCGTAGTTCCTGTTCTTGCGCATTCAAGAACCAACAATCAGCAGTCAAGATCTCAGCTCCCCTTACAAGAATCCTCCAGCCTCCTCAAACCCCCCAGTACCTCCTCCGGTAACTTCCCATTCGCCAACTTCCCGTACCGCAAATCACTTAATCCCCCAACTGTGCTCTCAATCTCCCGCAACAGCTCTTCCGCCTCAGCATCCAATCGTTGTATCTCGTCTTCAACAAGTGCGGTGGCTTCTTCGAGCGCGGGTATGATGCTGAACAGGGTGTGAGGTTTGGGAGTCGGCAGGTTTGCGGTGGATTTGAAGAGCTGGGGGATTACATTAACAATTGAATATAGAGGATGAAGCAGAATAGGTGAATGGGAAACATACCACTTCCTCAACTTCCACCTCCTCGTCTCCCAATTCCCCTCCTTTCTCCGCCTGACGTCTTGAGCGTGCGACTAGTCGTTTCTGTGTGTGGCCTCTCTTTACTTCTGCTGCTACATTGTGTGCGACGGCGTCGACGACGAGGGCGCGTTGGTGGAGGAGGTCCCGGTAGAGTGCCTGGATTTGGGGTGAGGATTGTTGGGACTTGGGGAAGAGAGCGGGAAAGGATTTGGGGGGCAGGATTGAGGGGAGTGGTGAGGGGAGGAGGAGGTAGGTTGTTAGGATTTTGGATTCCGTTGGTGGCATTGTTTTTGGGTTGTTTGTTGTAGAGGAGGGGGTTGGTTGGAGGTGAGGTTGTATGAGGGTAAATGTGTTTGTGTTCAGGATGTTACCTTATTGAATAGTGTACCAGTATGGCTGAATCATGACAGTTATGATTCAATGTACAATGTACAGTACACTAGATAGACTATGTTACATAGGGTTTCCCTGTCAACCTAACAGCCTTAAATAACACGTCACTTTTCTTTGAGAAAACTGATTGTCAATTACGCGTTCTTGACGCGCTTTCAAAACTCTTCTGATAGGTCAAAAGCGGCCATCCGACTTTGACTTCCATTTGTCCCCTCGGTCCGTAATCTCTTAAGAAATAGAGCCAGAAACGTTCATATATTTGACTTGACTTTTCACTGACCTTAGAGCGTTTGACTGGGATTTAAAATCGCAATCTCTAAGTAAAAGCTGAAGGTGTTTAAAATGTCAGAAGTGGTAACTACTTCATGTTTAGCCTCCTGTCAGACAGTGCCGCTTGTTGGTCACAGTAAGCGTGAGCACCTGCAGGGGTCGGACCATAATTGGCGGAACCGAGAAATATCTCAAAGGGAGATCTCCTTACATACAACCACCTCGTCTGACTTGCTTGCTCATAAACAACAACTTTCTAACAACATCAATAACTCATCTTTGCCGCCCCTCAAACAACGCGCGCTTCAATATACACTTGCTTCGACCTACCAGCATGGCTCCCACCAAAGCGGGTGACCCAGTTGCCCCATTCGCCAAGGAGGAAAAGATACTCTGCTTTCATGGGCCTGTCCTGTACGAAGCGAAGATTCTGGATTTAAGACTTTCAAATAACGCCTGGCAATTCAAGATTCATTACAAGGGGTGGAAGAACACCGTAAGTGAAAGTGAACGGCTTCTTGTGTTTCGGGCGCTGGCTTCAGATGGACGATGAAAATGCCATTCCGCCTCATGCTCATGTGACAGTGGTCTTGAAATCGTGCCTTCCAAAATTCACGGTTGGGTAGAATTACAAGTCCAGTGTTGCTTAGCGACCTAGCTCCTCCATGACCCCCCTTTTCCATTTGTGCCAGATTCCCGTCGACGACCACATAGAAACTCCAACCACCAACATGCCCCCACGAGGAGGAAATCGGAGAGCAATCAAGGTGTCCAAGGCATCAGGGCCAAAGAAGGCCTCGCAGAAGATGAATACTAATGAAGTGTCTCAACCGCAGTGGGACGACTGGGTTCCGAGTGATCGAGTCCGCAAGTTCACTGAAGAGAACAAGGAGATTGCCGCCCAACTGCATCAACAGTTGAAGCAACAACACCCAGGCCCCAAGTCCCTCAGCAAAGGAAGCAAGAAGCCCAATGGCTCAGACTTTAGCTCGGCTCGTGGGAGCGAAGAACGACACACCTCGGTTGCAGCTCCTGGCGGGCGTGGGGGAGCACGAAGACATCGTGATTACGATGTAGAAACGGTAAGTCCCAGTAAATCTCATTCCGTCGCTTTCCTCGTCTCGGTATATTCTTTGCTGGCGTGTGTCTGGACGTTCAAACCCACCCGGCGCTGGCTCTGCTGCTGGAAAATGAGTTTGGTGTTCGCGGCTCCGAGAGCGAGGCTAGCTAGTCCGTCGTCGACCTCGACTCAACCTGGAACCTTCGGCCACCACTAAACATGACCAACCCTCACCAACGCCAATGGCCACAAAATCTGGTCGATGGACCAGTTGCTTTGCTTGAAGCGACAGACAACCACCAATTAACAATTGGCATCCACCAAACATGTCGCCCAACGCGCCCGCCACCCGGCGTAGAGCAGCGCTCTTGAAGGCACAGGAGGATGAACCAGAGCCCCCCTTGGTCACTAGACCTAACCTCAGAAAGCGCAGAGTAAGTTTGACCTCTGAATCTCAAACAATTATTCATTCTTACTCAACACCAACCCAGCGCTCGCCATCTCCAGATTCGCTCTCTAAAGAATCTGACTCGTTGTCCACTCAGTCTGCCTCGTCTGAGCCGCAGCCCCCACAGGACATGTCTACTGAGAACTCTACTCCAGAGGTCACCACTGCGCCCACTAGAGCTACCAGAAGTAAACCAAATAGCTCAAGTTGGAAGGACCCTCGTAGTCCAGATTGGGATGTTGCACGCTTTCTTGAGTGTGAAGATAGTGTTATCTCCGACCATCTCCTCAAGGCCCCTTCAAAAGGTTACGTTTATCTTGACGCCAATGGAAACTTGAAGGACAGAAACAAATACGCAAAACTTGCCGCCTTTGAAAAGCAGATGGCACAGCGACGAAGCGGTGTTGTGAACGAACCCACATACACTAAGCCCCATCCTAAACTTCAGGAACACATCAAAAATCGCACCGACACCCCAATGATGCACATCTACTGGAGTGGAATTCCAAGTGACATCAATATTCCCATGGCCGGTATTCCTCGAGACGAGGCTCTCAGACTTGAAGCTAGGAAGAATGGGTTTCTAGTTACAGGGCCTTCTGAGAGAGTCAAGCCTAAGCATGGCAGGTCTCTGAGCAAGAGCACGATCGTGGATACTGACAAGGCTCTGTTCCCCAACTTGATTTTCAAGTCAAAGGTCGCTTCAGAGCCAGAACCGCAAGCAGAGTCAGAAGTCCAGCGATTTGAAGATCTTCTTGCGCATTTCACACGTGCAACCGCAAAGTTCTGTAGTCTAACATCAAACCAGGAAGAAACGTTTCACTCTCGTCCATCCATTAAGGTTGGCGTTCCGGATCACATCAAGGCTATCTTGGTTGATGATTGGGAGAATGTAACCAAGAACTCGCAACTTATACCACTTCCCCGCGCTAGCCCCGTTAGCACCATCCTAGCAGATTACATTGATTGTGAGATGCCAAGACGACAAGTAGGTAGTCCACAAGCAGATATCTTGGATGAAGTCGTTGCTGGCTTGAAGGAGTACTTTGAGAAATCTCTTGGCCGCCTTCTCCTCTACAAGTAAGTTGAATTGTTATTGAGGATTGGCTGGTGCAATTGCTGACACCTGATAGATTTGAGCGTCACCAATACGTTGAAATCCGTAGTGCTTGGGAAAACAAGGATAGTGAACTCTATGGCAAGGGTCCTGCTGAAACTTATGGAGCGGAACACCTATGTCGCCTCATCGGTTTGTCACTTCCACTTATTTTATTCTGCCAAGACATGCTAACAAACAAAAGTTACACTCCCTGAGCTGATTGCACAAACCAACATGGATGTCCAATCTGTCAATCGGCTTCGTGAAGAACTCACCAAGCTTACCATGTGGTTGGGTCGCAATGCCGAAAAGTACTTCTGCAAGGAGTATGAGACACCGAGCGGCGAGTACGTTGAGAAGGCAAAAACCCTCTAAGTGGTTGTTTTTTGTCATCGTGGGAATCATTACGGAGAATGGCGTTCAGTGGTTCCTCTTTTTGGGGACATGCGTAGCGAAGTCGCGAAGTTTTCTCTTTTCATTTTTCTCGAGAACTGTCTGTAAAAAACGCATGGGGGATCACTTTTTTATTTCTTGCTTTGTTTTTTTATTTCATTTTCATTGTACCTTGAAAGGTCATTCATCCTCACGAATCTCGTTCGCGACTATGGAGGTGCCTTGGTACCTGCGGAGGATAGACGGGGTACTTAAAGGTTTTCATCCTCACGAATTTCGTCCACGACTTTGGTGGGCATGGCGCCTTCTTGTGAACCTGGGCTTGCTTTGGGGGCATTCTGATGGAGGAATCGATACAGTTGCGCTGAACATTCGGCAGAACCAAAAAAGAACAATAATACATTTCTGATGGACGACGTAATATCGTTGTTTTATATCAGGGATGAGATGAGAACGAGTGGAGACTGGGGCATGAAAATTGATAGAGAGATAATGGGCTTGTTGTATGATAGCTAGCTAATATCAATATGCACTCGGTACTTTTTCGTCATTCTCCGCGGCTCTGCAGAATGATAAAACCCTGTGGGCTTCTACTCATTTCCTCTTCAAAATCTTCTGCCGAGTTTCGAACAGGAAGGTCCGGCAGCCCATAACCGTCCTCAATCCAATCCCTCTGTTCAGCGACCCAGTCGGTCCAATTCAGATTGCAATGCCTATTGAGCCGAATTTCGAAAAGGATCTGGTTAGGTGTTGGATCTCTACTTGTAGGCCTATCTTGCTGGATCTCCCTGCCTTTTGTAAGTAGCTTATAGTTAAACGATCAGGGGTATCACATACTCAATTTTCAAACACATCACTGCAAAAATCCATTCTTCGAGGATCCATTTTTCCAAGGCCCGTCGGCTGACCTGGTAGAAGGAGGAGCCAAATAGCTCCTCGGCGTGCACACGCATGTTGGGTGCCAGGTGGTAGGGATTGGGGGTTTCTGGGTAAACGTCGAACCAGCGGTTTGGGTCGACGCGGGTATCGCTCGTCCATGAGTCTTGGAGGATGGATCGGATTGTGGATTCGAGGTCTCTGCGGTCGTGGTGATCTGTGTATGACACATGCATTTTGACGTTTTCTTTTTCGTTTTTTGCTGGTTGATTGTGTTGGAACTTGTCCTTCGCTGGGGATTGGTGAGAAGTAGATTCAATTCGGCAAGTTATCATAATATTATATACGCAAAATGTTCGGGTTGATGAAGTCTTCCTTTCAATGTATCCTGAATCTCGAGGTTTCAGGGTTTTATACATTCTCTTTGATTGTGGGGTCTTCTTTCTCATACTGTTTTTACATGTTTTGTAACAGTCAACACTCCTAAACGCCATGTGTTCCCATATATGAAAGGAGGTATCAAGAACTAACACACTTTCCCGAATCAAAATATCCCAACCACCTTTCCTCACCCAGCACCTCCCACCGCATTCGCAGCCGGGATCCAAACCCATCCCACCTCATTCATTTCCTCCCAGTTTTTCATCATGAACATCATTCCTTTCCTCCCTTTCCCTTCACCTCGGCGCCGCCGTCTCCAAGTAAAACCCGGGATCCGGTCTTCGTTCCGCCCTAACCTCATCTTTCGTCAACGGCTTCTCAACCTCCTCCACCGAAACCAATTCCTTCACTCTCATAATCTGACCAGCGACTTCGGGTGTGACGGGGTAGAAGACGGTGGCCATTCTGTGGCGGAGACCTAGGGCTTTGAGGACGCCTTGTGTGCGTTTGGGCATGCCGATGCCGGATCTTTGGAGGGTGATGCGGAAGTAGGACATTTTTGGCTTCACGATACGTAATTAGCAATTAGCTAGTGGAAAGAATTGGAATTGGTACTTACCTTGGTTGTGGAGTTTGCCTTGTTTGTGGTTGTCAATGGGGGGTGGTGAAGCTCAAATCGCAAAAATGTTCCCAGTCGTCGGATGCAATTCCGAGGGGGGGGCGCGATTGAACCCCGGATTTCAGATACCTCCCTGCTTCAATGCTCACCTCAACTCAAACTCCTCCGCCTTAAACACCATAACCATGGCGTAAATCTACGAAGAAACCTCGAAAAAAGTACGTCATAATCGAAATATCACAATGGAGACCTCCAGGGTCAAGCTCGCAGAGCTTCTCCGTCACCCCGATGATCTCGACAAGATCCCCGCCATGAAACTCGAGTACACGCGCAAGAAAGCAGCCGTCGACTCCCAACTACGCAGCGGATTGAAGGAACAACTAGAAATCACGCAATCCGGCATGAATGGAATAACCGAAGGCCAACGCACCGTCCAGCTCATCAAAGAAGAAATGATGAAGATAGACAAACTCTGCGCCGAAGCCCAGAACATGATCCGCGATTTCCCCAACATCAACTTGGTCTCGCAGACGCATAGGAACTTCAGCGCGGTGGAGCTGATGCGCAAGAATCTGGATAGTTTTAATGATAGGGTGACCCGGGTCGAGATGATGCTGAGGGAGGACGATCAGGATGTGGAGAATATGCCGAATTTACTCGTGGTGCATTATGAGTTGACGCAGTTGAGGAATATTAGGGATGATGCGTTGGAGCAGATTCAGAGGGCGGATGATGCGAGTTTGGTGAGTACGCTGGAGGATTACTTTTCCAGGTTGGATGAGACGGTGGAGTGGTTCGATGAGCATATTGGGACGATTGCGTTGAATCTTATTAGTGTGCTCATTAATGGAAATAATGGACTGGTGGTAAGGTTTGCGGTTATTATTGAGGCGGAAGAGAGAAGTGATAAGAGGGTTAAAGCCCTGCAGGAGGCGTTGAAGGATCATAAGGAGATGGCGCAGAGATTTCAGAGTATTACGGATGGAGCGAAGAATACGAGAGGCTATAAGGAGAAGTTCCTTCAGGCTATCAAAATCCATGCCGAGGAGCAGCTCACGGAGACGAAGCAATCGTTTCTGGAAGACCCAGCGAAGTTGGCCAAGCAGCTGAAATGGTATTTCAATGATCTGAATGCTGTCAAGCAAGGAATGGTTCCGCTTATGCCAAAGAAGTGGAAGATATTTCAGACATATGCCAAGATATATCATCAACTCATGCACGATTTTCTTGTTGGCATGATTGATGATCCAGATACCAATTCCGCAAATATGCTTTCCATCCTAAATTGGCCGGAAGTGTATTATACCAAAATGGCGAAACTTGGATTTGGAACAGAAGAACTAGAGCTACATGTTATAGACAAGCGAGAAGGAGAGCTTGTCAAGGAATTCCGACAACTTGTCATTCGATACCTCGATCAATGGCTTGATCGGATTTTCAAGACTGAAAAGAAAGATTTTGCCGATCGAAATGTGGATGGTTCGAATTTGGATGCAGATGAATATGGATATTTCCGCACGAAGAATCTGGTTGATATGTGGCGGATGTTGAGAGAGCAAATTGATGCTGCTAGCAATTCCCAGAGATTGGATGTTGCAGAAGGTGTTATCGATGCTATGATTCTTCGATTAAAGACTCGCCAGCGAGACTGGCAGAAGATGCTTGACGAAGAAGCCGATAAATATATTGGCCCCACTCCGGAGCTCGAAGGTTTCCAGGCACTTCAAGATTGGCTTGTTGCTACAGCGAACGATCAAATTGCCTGTATCGACGATAATGAAGACGAAGGTCGATTCGCCTATCTCACAAGTTTCCGTCAAAAATACGAACCTGTCGTCTCGCCTACATACTTGGAAGCAACGGATGAGCAAATCAACGCTCTCCGAGATGGCTACGTCGATCTCAGCACCCACTGTATCGCTCGCTTTGCACAACTAATTTTCGCCGTCGACTTCCGAACTGTCATGCCTGACTTCTTCACACCTAAATGGTACACGGCAACAGCCATGAAACAAATGGTCGTCACATTCGACGAGTATATTGGGGACTACAAATCCGTACTCCACCACTCCCTCCTAGACATCTTCATCGAAGAACTCGCCGACGAACTTCTAATCCGCTACTTATCCAGCGTCAAAAACAAAGGGGCGAAAATCAAGCGCATCGACCCCTACAAAGACAAAATCTTCAACGACGTCTCCACGGCCTTTGAATTCTTCGACACCAACCAATACCTCTCTCCCGACGTCGCCGACACGATCAAACAGAAATGGCGCGTCACGGAGCAGTTTATCCAGTTGCTCGAGGGGGATAAGAGTGTCATCCCCGAGGTATTTGCCAGTTTCAAAATGGAATACTGGGATCTGCAGTTGAGTTGGGTGGAGGCTGTGCTCCGGACGAGGGATGATTTCGATCGGAGTTTGCTGAATGCTGTGAAGGCGAGAGCGGCGCAGATTGATGTCCAGAGAGGTTTGGAGACTATTATGAGCAAGGTTAAATAGATGACGGTTGGTAGATGGGATGGGATGTGATGTGTGGGGTGGGGTTTGTTTATGTAGTTCTCTTTTTTGTGCTTGTTTCCCCCTTTATAAGCGAGGCGTTTTGGGGTGTTGGGTGGGGTGCGTATGGATGGATGGATGTATATATACATGATTCTGAGGGTCTGGACTGGGACTTGGCAGAAATCGGGATTGAGAGGATGGCTGGCTGGCTATTTGGATGTAGAAATAAATAGAAAGTGTATCTCGACCTTATACTTATACTTATACTACCACTCACTTGATTCGAATTTCCTTCCTTCCCTCTTACAGTACACTGTTTGTCCAGTAGGTAACCTTTCTTCCTTCCTCCTCCTTCCTTCTTCCTCCTTTTCCTTTTTCCGTGTTCTCCACTATCTTCTATCCTCCATACATGATTACTATGACTATGAAACTCCTCTCCTATCTTCTTCCCATATACAATAAAATTACAAATTCGGAAAATCATACTTAAAAACAAGCTCAAGCTCCCTATAATCTTACCAAATAATCCACTTCTTCACCCAGCTACTTTGCGATAGCCCGTTCAAGTTAAGTTTCGGAGGTATGTATGAGTAGCCTAGCCTAGCCTTGTCTGGTCCAAGCCGGGTACTATAATATTTACTTGTAGTGTCAGGAGATAGAAATTAGAATTAAGGATGGGAATAATTTACTGAAAACAGGCTCGCCGCTCGCGCGCTTAATTGTATCCAGGTATGACGAGTTAGGGAATAGAGCGAGGTAGCCTTGGGGAGTAGTTTGATGATCTATACTCATAATTTCTAGGATCTACTTATATTATATAGGTAAGTCTACGTCTACGTATTCAAGGAATGGACTAGATAGTTGTATCATATCATATCATATCACATTAAGATCCCAACCACTCTCAAGTGAGCCCCTCCTCCCCCCTCCCCGAAAGTTTCCCCGAGATGAAGACAAAGAGGAATATAATAAAAATCCATCCTAATTTAATAAAAGCTACGCTAACCTAGTAAAGTATCCAGCTCCATCAACCTCTTAACCCCAAGCCAGTTGCAAGCTCACAACTCAACCCTCAAATCTCAAATTTCACATCTCATATCTCATATCTCATACCCAACCCAACACTTTCCCCAATCCGAATCCCAATCCCACCCCGCACCCCTAAATAGCAATAAAGAAGCTCTTCTCACCCTCCTCCGGCTCAACATGGGCACGCTTAATAATAGGATCCACACAACTCGTCCTAATCCTCTCCGTCGTCGCCGGACTCTCCAAGCGCAAGAGACCATCCCCCTTCACATCTTCGCCCAACGTAGCAGTAACACCATACTGCCTCCTGGCCGCAACCAGCGCATCGCGAATGGCAAAGAACACCACACTCCCCATGAACAACGGTGGTTCCCCGACGCCGCGGCTACGCTGAATAGTCTGGAGATTCTCCCAGGTCACGCCCTTGAGCATGGAGACGTTCAATTCCTGGGGGACATCGCGGAACCCGGGGATCTTGTAGGCGCCGGGTCCGCGCGTGGCGAGTTGGCCTTTCATGGGGCCGTTGCGGTACCAGAGGGATTCTTCCATGGTGAAGAGTCCCATGCCTTGGACGAAGGCGCCTTCGATTTGTCCGTAGTCAATGGAAGGATTGATGGAGCGGCCGATGTCCATTTTTATGTCGGCGCGGAGACAGGTCCAGTCGCCTGTCAAGGTGTCGATTTCGACTTCCGCGGCGGCGACACCTTGGGTGAAGTAGAAGAACATTTGGCCCGTGTTTGGACCCCAGACGTAGCCGATGTCTGGAGTTTTGTAGAAGCCATTGGCAGAGAGGTTAACGCGGTCGAAATATGCCGCGCTGGCGAGTTTCTTCATGGGAGCGTCCTTGCCAAGTTTTTCTCGGTATGGGGCGAGACGTTCATTGATTTGGGCACATGCGTTGAAAATTGCATAACCGTTAAGATCTGAAGAGGCTGAAGCAGCGGTCGAGGAAGTATTGGCAACAGTGTTTGTTGCAGTTTCAGAGATATGAACATCAGAGAGTGGTACTCCCAAAGCTTCAGCTGCGATCATGATCATTTTCGTATGAAGACCTTGTCCCATTTCAGTTCCTCCATGGGCTACCAAAACGGTTCCATCATGATAAATGTGGACCAAAGCACCCGCTTGGTTGAGAAAGAGAGCCGTAAACGAAATTCCAAATTTTGTTGGCACAATCGCAAGCCCTCTCTTCTTCCATTTGTGAGAATCGTTAAACTTTGTCACAGCGTCACGTCGCTCTTCATACTTTGTCTCTTCCAAAACCTGCTTGTACATAATTGGTACGTGCCAATCTTTCAAGCTCTGGCTGAAGTGAGTCTCTTCATTCGGTTGGTAGAAGTTTATTTCCCGAAATCTTTCGACGGGTATGTTGAGACGGTCGGCAATTTCTGACATGAATGATTCTGCAATAAAGTTGCCCTGAGGACCACCAAATCCACGAAACGCTGTATTAGACATGGTATTCGTCTTGCATACTCTTCCGCGAACGTGCACATTGGGAATTAGGTAGCATCCGTCGATATGCGTCATGGCTCTATCACAAACTGATCCACTCAGATCTTGTGTCCATCCCCCATTAGCGAAAACATCCGCATCAAGGGCTTGGAGTTTGCCATCTTTGTTTACTGCAACCTTCCAATGGCAGAGGAATGGGTGTCTTTGGCCAGACGTTATCATGTCTTCATCCCTGTTCAACATACATCTCACAGGGCGGCCAGTTGTTTTCGCAGCTAGAGCAACTATGCCCGATAATTGGATTGATCGGGTCTCTTTACCGCCAAAGCCTCCACCGAGACGCTTGACACGAGAGACAACCTTATTTGCAGAAACACCACAAACCTGTGCGACATATGTTTGCCTATCAGAAAGAATTAGTGAGTAAATTTGGGTTCTGGAAATAGGTATCCTACGTTTCAGTTGGGTTTTGCGTACTGGCAAAAACCTCAATCTCGCCATCTTCAGGCTTGGGAACCACAACACAAGCTTGCGTCTCGAGGTAAAAATGCTCCTGACCACCCATTCTAGTTACACCAGTGAAAACGTGGTCAGCGTCTTTGCAAGCAGCTTCTATGTCACCCTTGTGGATGTAGTGGAAATGATTGAAAAAGCTCCCCTTCTCAATCGCTTCCTCCATTGTGAAGATACTTGGTAACTCTTCATAATCCACTTTGACAGCTCTGGCACCGGCACTGGCATGCGCTGCAGTATCTGCGACGATAATTCCAATAGGCTGACCAGTTGTGTGAACTTCATCAACCGCAAAGAAAACTTCATCGGGTATAGGTGCACCCCAAATGTTAGCCTCTGGAGTTGGCAAATCAGTATGATCAATGTATCGAACTACGCCAGGCAAATCCATTGCTGGTGAGTAATCTACAGAAGTGATCTTGGCATGGGCTTTGGTTGAGAGAACCAGACATCCATATAATTCATTCTTTTGGACAGGAATATCGTCAGTATACTGTGCCTCGCCACATGTCTGTTTGAGAGCTGCAACATGAGGATTTGCCTTGCCAAGAATGTTCTGTTGATACGCAATTGTTGAGTCTTTGTCCTGTCTGCCTGTCGAAATCATCCTTTCAATCTCTTCAATAACTTCTTCATCAACTTCGGACTCATTGACTTCCAGCTTGGACAGAACCTCGTGATAGAAGCGGTAAAAGAAACCCAATGCCAGAGACTTTCTGTACGTAGCCATCCCGCCCGGAACTCCAAATCTAAGATCAAAATCTTGCTCCAAGGCATTCATTGTACCTTCAAGTGTCGCTGGATCTGTAAGCCTTTTCCCGACGAGATATTCTCCAGCAGTCTTTGCAGCAATGGTTATTGGTGCCATTCCACCGTAAACGAGGTCCGCGCTTTCAACAGTATTTGAGTCATCCAAGGAAATACGAAGAGCGGCATTGACGATGGCAATGTCATCATCCTTTCGGTTGGATTGCTTATAGGCTTGAAAGTACTCCCCTTTCTCACGAGCCACTGGTATCCGAATACTTGCAATGATACTGTTTGGTTCGAGGGCTGTTCTCCTATAACCTTTGAAGAATTGAGACATTGGGATTTCGGTTTCCTCCTCCAAAGATTTTGCCACAAGAACTGCATTTGAAGCAACAAAGACGGGATTGAGATCCGAAATAGGGGAAGCAGTAGCAAGATTTCCTGCGGGCGTTCCAACATTTCTGATTTGACGACCAGCAAAATACTTTAGCTGTTTATGAATGGCAGCAAAGACTTGTCCCTTGACCGGACCGTAATGCTCAATAGCTTGAAGCGAGATAGATTCCAAATCAGTCAAAGTGACATTACCGCCGATTTCAAGGTGGTCGTCTTTGAAGGAGAATTGGCGTAGTTCAGGAATATCACCGACGAATACTGAAACCGTGTATTGCATGGCCTTGAACTTGATCTCAATTTGCGTTTCGGTACTTCCTCCAATAATTTTGGCCGATGGGTAAACACTCTTGATTTCTAGCAGCTGCTGCAGGGTAATTGGACGATACCATTTCTTCTTCTTATTTCCAAGAGCCAAAGGCCGGAATTCATGTTTCGTCAAAGGTGGGGGGAATATGAGCTCTGTATCTGGATTATACTCGATGAAGCCAGGCGGCGTAAACCGTTTTATAGGTTGGTCGTCTTTGAATCCATCCTTACAGCAACCTCCAGAATTCTCGTTGCCTTTTTCCATGCAACAGCCGCCTCCTCCGTTTGCTTTTGCCTTGCCACATGACTGGTCAGCACTGAAAGTTTGTGCAGCGTCAAGTATGGGCCGATAGCCGGTACACCTGCAAAGGTTCCCATCAAAAGCTTCTTCTACATCATGTTCTGACGGATTGGAGTCATTCCTGAGTAGGGCATAGAGGCTCATGACGATGCCTGGGGTGCAAAATCCACACTGACTACCGTTACCACGGGCAATCCGCTCTTGCGTAGGATGGGGCCTTTTGACATTCCCTATCCCCTCAACTGTGATGACGTGCTTTCCATCGACGCTGATTAAAGGTGCCAAGCATGCATTTACGCTGGCATGATAAATCTTTTTTGTGGTAGGATTATACTGCGAAACCACGACTGTACAAGCCCCGCATCCCCCTTCTATGCGGCTATTAGTGAACCTATAACTAAACAAGGGACCCCTCCACCCCCAAAAGGAAAAAGAAAACTGCTCATTTACCTGCACAACCCAACTTTGTACCCGTTAGATTTATGCCGCGAAGATAATCAAGTATGGTGGCTTCCGGATCAAAATCCTCTAGTACCACTCGTGTGCCGTTGAGGTAGAATCGAAGAGTGTCATCATAAGCGGTCGTTAAAGAGAAGAGGGATTGGCTTGCGTGTTCTGAGACAGCTGGATTGGGGGAAACGGCAATTGGCGCCATTGTGGTAGAAGTGAGTAGTGACTAGGTGACCCTTAAGTTTATTTAATTCGCAAAAAGTGACAGATGTAGAGATCTCGAAAGATATTATGTTGGATGTCGTGATGTTGAGTTGTGAATGAATGCAAGTTCCCGAGGTCGTCCCGTTGGGGATCTTCGCCACTCTGGGCGTGAAGCGGATGGGAATGAGATGAGGAAAAAGAGAAGCAAGAGGACAGATATTTAGGCAGACGTCTGGTTAAAAGAATGCTCCATTCCAAAGAAATATCATCAACACCACACCGCGGCCGGCCGCCTTATCTGACGCGGGGTCCAGTGAGCAAATGCAGGTGTGAAGTATGGAGCTCTCCGAAATATCTGCCAGTAGGCGTCTAGTACATGCGGGGTAGCACGAGTGGAGGGGGCTTGAGGTTGATGGCAGACTGGTACTGGTAGTACCACGCTATGAATATCGCTTAGCTCTGAACAAGAATGATGATATGTTTTCTCCCCAGATGCAATATGAATGTTGAAGCGATTGTGGTTGTGGACTGCTCCGATGTTGAGAGTTGTAAACTAGTTGATTGCCTTTCAAGGTTGACATCCTGCGCCTGCCATGCCATGCCTCCCGAGGTCTGGCTTTGGCTCGGCCGACTCCGATAGCAAGGATGCTACGACGTATGAATTATTTGTAGCGAGCAACATTATTTTTCCGGGCCTGTGCTGTCTGTTATTCATGAACGGCTTTGGGACTTTAGATATCAGCAGCTTGTATCTCAAAGTTCCAGCTTCCTCTCCCACCAACTCTTTCTTACCGGCCCTATCAAGTATTCCACCTTATTTGGCTTGTTGGCATGCAAAGTGGAAAGAGAAATTTTTTGAGAAAACTCAAATCGGATAGCAGGAGAGATGCAAAGAAGGATTTTTCGTGAAATCCAGGTAGATACTTGAAAGTCGTTGGGCTACTTACGAGTAACAGGCATGGAGTGAGTAATTCCTGACTTTCTACTCTGGTTGGAACCTAGGGAGTGAGCTATCTAGTTAACGCTACAAGTGACAGGTAGGACCGTGTTACTTCCTTACTTTGACTTTTCCAGCCTTGCCCCCACCTGCACTCCTAAAAAAGCAGCGCCCCGGTGGTGTAAAGATGCGCTGTAACTCGGCCATCATTGATTCATCATACATATGAAATTCTCCGCTCAGGAGCCAAGGAGTGCCTTGGAAGAACTCCAAGAGCAATGGTAAGTAACATTCCAGCAATTGAGGAACATTTTCTTGAAGATTCCTCTAGTCCTCTCTATTTGAGCCATCTTGATATTGAACGCCGCTTCCAGGTTTCTTAGGAGCAAAAGATAATGTCACGTGCGGTCTACCAGCGCATTGTGGCCGGGGACCTTTCAAAGTCACAATGCATCAACCAATCAAAAAGCGACGTCTTTCCGTTCTTGAAGATTTGGAAGATCTATCGAAGGCGAGGTGTGTCTGAAGCATTACGTAGGGGTCGTTGCTGCGAATCCAGTCCGACCGCCACACCACGGGCTGGCTACGTACGCCCCTTCCCTTCTCCACTAGACGGCCTACGCTGGTACACTTAATGCGCCTCACATCCTTGCTGACTAGCTGAGTCAAGCTATCGCGAGACTTGATTGGCCAGCGCAGGGATAATGCAGGTCTGAACAGGACTAGGGGGTCGCTTAGGGGACATGGTCGCTCCTGCCTCAATAAATAGTCTTTAACGTGCTCTTTCCTCAGATCCTAACTTTTGCTGGATCGCACTTTCCTTCGACCATTTTGCGACAGCCTCTCATTCGTCAACCACAAAACACGTGACGACCACACCCACGACGCGCCTGCCCTGCAAGCCTCTGCCTCGCCTTCGCCTTCACCCTCGGTCGGCAATAACAGACTGGAGCAGATTCATAGATAAAAGGATTGGACATTGCGATTGACGCTGACAATCACATTGCGACCGCATCGCATTGTCTTCATCATCAACACCACGATCAGCATCCATCCCCAACTCAATCCATCTTTTCCTGCGTCTGCATCTGCGTCTCGGTGCAGTGGCGCGACTCCCATCAACACGAGGACGCTTTGGCTGTCTGGACCTTCGACCTTCCGATCGCACCGACGCGCCTCAGGGATTCAATCAACACTACCACCCGCATCGCATCCGCATCCCCATCCCACCACCACTTCGACCGACCACCTTTCGCAATCTTTGTATATTCACTCTCGCCGTGTCGCAAATCAATAGCGCACCACCTGCTTGCTAATCCCCTCCCAGTCGCCACGTCCTCGTGACCCGGTAAGGCTACCCTACCCCTCGGCCGACTCCCGCGCCCCGTCGCTGTCATAAATTATTTGCGTCTGCGCGAGGCTACCTGTCTCATCTTCGCGACAAGCTATTTTTTGAACTTGACCTTCGCGCCATCCACTGCGTATCACCTTCGACCGATCGCATCGTAGCGTCGCATCCTTTTACTTTCGCGCATTTCCCCACGCTACTTTTCTCTTCGTCAATTGGTTCGGGTCGTTGGGCAAGGACTGGTCCCGTTGGTGTGTTGATGGCCGTCATGACGACTCAACAGCCAGAGGGAGTCGCAGTCGAGCAGAAGATACAACCCGTTCCATCATCTGACAAGATGGCTTTGGATTTAGAAATCAACGGGTGAGTCTGCCTCGAGTTCCTCTTCTCTTCGCGCATCTCCTTTCCTTTCTTCTCTCAAACTTTGTACACTTATTTATCAATGAAATCTTTGCAGACAAACTCCTAGAGCTGAGACCATTGTTGACTCTACCTCATCTGATCTTGCTCTGAACAAATCCGCCGAGGCTACCTCACCTTCAACCGACGCAGTGAATTTGACTTCGAAGGCGGTGGCCGTCAACGGTACCGCAAACGATGATGCATTCGCCGCGAATCAAACAATCCCAACCCCTCCTATTGATAATAACCCAGAGGTCGCGCAGATAGATAAGGAAGCTTCAAATCTGCCGCAAGTCCCAGATACAAACACAAACACCACCGCCACCGAGGCCGCGCCACTCTCGACATCCCTCGAAATACAACAACCAGACCCTTCGGCGCTTCTCGCATCTACAGACTTGGCTGTAGAGGCAGCGGTGGACGATACTGCAGCAGTATCCACTGTGCCACCAGTGGTTGAGACGCAGGAATCTGATCTTCGCAATACCATCTCCTCTCCAATTCCATCTGATTCCGCCCCGTTAGATGCCGCGCAGAATCTCACCCTGGGCCCCGATAGCTCGCAAGATCTCTTCCAAGATACCAATGACAGCTCCGGACAGCCTGTTGTCGCCGCGGCCGGGACTGAAGCTGGAGAATCGACCTTGGAGAATCCTCTCAATGAGATTTCTCAAGATAGTCAGGTCGATCAAACAGGACCGCAGAATACGGAGGATCTCAACATGATTTTAGATGCGCCAATTGCCGCAAAGCCAAGCGCAGATGTTGACATGAGTGCGACCACCAACGATAGCACGCAACCAGAATCTGCAGATACCGCTATGGTCGATGTCTTGCCGCCGTCTCAATCTTCAAACAAGCGCGACGCCGTCGAAGACGAAGAACAGCCACCAGCCAAACGAACCAAGACAGAAGAAACTGACGGTCCGGACGCAGGATCATCGTTTGCCTCCCGTCTTCAAAATGGCACATCTCCCGCACCAGCGACTAATGGTCAGCCTGCAAAGGTTGGCGAGCCGGTGACCAATCATATGATCAAGGAATGTGTGAAAATCCTGAAGAACGCTGCGAGGACTGCTGCTGGAAAAAACTTCAAAGCTCCGGTGGCCACTCTCTGGCCAGGATTGGCAGAAGCGTATAACGCTAAGATTGCCAATCCTACAGACCTAGCCACGATGGAGACCAACCTCAAAACCCAGAAATACTCCACACTGCAGGATTTCAAGGCCGATGTCAACCTTCTTTACACCAATGCCTGCGAGTTCAACGGAGATACCCACTTGGTCGCGAATTCCGCAAGGGAACTAAGAGATTCTATATTTGAAAAACTCCGACGTATTCCTCCAGAGCCAGCTCCAGTTGTCAAGAAGGAGAAGAAGCAGCCGAAGAAACCGACACCTGTTGCTGAAGCTGCACCTCGACCCCCACCTCCTCGAAGACTTTCGAAAGGATCTGGCCAACCTGCACAAGCACAAACCTTCGCTTTGGACCCAGCCACCAATACTCCACTTATCCGACGTGATTCTACCAAGAACGACAGCGGTCGATTTCCAAAGCGTGAGATTCATCCTCCAAAAAACAAAGATCTTCCGTATTCAGCCAAACCCAAGAGCCGGAAGTTTGCAACTGAGCTTCGCTTCTGTGAAGAAGTGCTGACGGAGTTAAAGAAGGCGAAACACAGCCATCTCAATCACATTTTCATGGAAGCCGTTGACCCAGTCGCTCTTAACATCCCGACTTATTTTGATATAATCAAAGAACCCAGGGACCTTGGCATGGTCACTGAGAACCTCCGAACAGGGCATTATGCCAATGCCAAAGAGTTTGAGAAAGACATGCGTTTGATCACTTCAAATTGCTGCAGATTTAACCCCTCTGACAACCCTGTACATCAAATGGGCAAGGACTTTGAGGCTCTGTTCAACTCGTTATGGGCGAAGAAGAATCAATGGATTTCAGAACATTCCCCTGCTGCACATAGCCCATCACCTACAGTCGAGTCGGATGACGAGGAGAGCGATGACGAAGAACCAGAAGGGCAGGCTCCGATGGCTGGAAGTGCTGCTGCTGCACGACTCATTGAGGAGCAGGGCAAACTGATCGCCTTGATGACTGGAAACAAGAAGAAGGATCAAGCAAGCATTGACATTCAACAACAGGTGGTGGAGATGCTCCAGAAGAGAGTCAACGCTGAAGCCGAGACTGAAAAGAAGCCTAAGAAGGCAAAGGCGCCAAAGCCAAAGAAAGCTGCTCCTGCGCCAAAGAAGGAGAAGCCAACTTCCAAGAAACCTACCAAGAAGCCGCAAAAATATATGGGTACAATCGAAAAGGAAATCATATCTGACGGACTCGGCTTATTACCCGAGGACATCTCTCAGACAGTTCTGGATATGATTAAAGATGACCAGGGCGGCATTGACGTGAGTATTCCGAAAAAGACATATCTGGTGTTTCTCCTACTAACAATATTTAGGTTGGTGAGGATGGTACTCTGGAACTCGACATTGATGTCATCAGCATGCCAGTTTTGTGGCAAATTCATGCTATGATCATGGAACACGCACCTGAAGTGGAAGCTACCGTCCGCGCTAGATTTGCGGAGAGGGAGGGCCCCCGTACTCTGGCTAAGCCGGCACCAAAGAAGAAGAATAAGCCTATGAGCAAACATGAGCAAGAGAGAAACATCCAACACCTGAGAAAAGAGTTGCAAAGCTTTAACCAACCTTCTAATCGCCCTGGCTCTGAAGACACTGTTCTCATGCAGAGTAAGTTTGCCTGCAGATAAATAGTAACTCAATTTGCTAATGTAATCCCAGCTGTCGAAAAACCAGAGGAAGAATCTAGCGGGGATGAGTCGAGTGACTCTGAGGAAGAATAAATCCGCAATTCCACATCTCTTTTTGTGGTTCAGCGAAAACTTGCGTGTACCATTCCGGACTGCAAGAAATATCCGACTGTACTACCACGCCTCTTCACCTAACTACCTAACTTTGTTGAACAAACAAAGAAAATGATGTACATTATCTTCAATTTTACATCTGCGAAGCCTTTACGATCGATTCCCGCTAGCCAAAAATTATACATCGAGTACCAACAATTCACCCAGGATGAATACTGAAAGGGCTTGGGGCATCAAAGAGATGCACAAACATGAGATTGTATCTCGTGGCCTGTATGCAGATTTCCACTTTTCTTTCCTTTTTGATTTTCATGAGATGAGGATACAAAGCGAGCATGATGAGAATGGGATGAGCTAAATGATCTTTTGCTCATGTCACAACTTTCAAGTATACCATTTGAGACGACGAAATTGGGGGGAGGGAGAGGTGGAGGAAAGAAAGAAACGAAAGCGCACTCTTCTGTATGATAAAGATCGGGTGGATGTGGAGTGGGGTGGGCATTTGCAAAGAGGCATTCATTCGATGCATGGAGAATCCATTTTCTCTTCCTAGCAGGAGTGATGGTGCTAGTAAGCAGATATCTACGATTAGTAGATTATCTACTGCCTATTTTTCTGGAGGCGAGCGAGAAAAGAAAAGAATAGCGATGAATCAATCCATGAATTGAATTGGGTGAAATGATCGATTTCCGCCAGTTCTTTTTGTATTTGCTTTTTTTCTTTTCTTGAGATGGGCCTGCTGGATGGATGGATAGATAGATAGCTTTGTTTGTCTGCCTGCCTTGCCTGCCTTTGGCTGACGCTGCCCGCTGGATTTGCACAGTAGGTAGAGTAGCGAGAATCTGAAAGAAAAAACATATTAATAATACCTTGAATGAGATGTCTGTTGTTGGTGATGTGATTTTGTTTTTATACGTCTTGCTCTCCTTCTCTGCGTGAAGAAATACGTGAACGGAGAGTATGATGAGGAAGATGAGTTGATACTGATTCTCTCTTCTGATGTATCGCGGAGTTGTACTTCGTCTTATGTCTTTGTGGTTGATGGGATGGAGTTGAACGAGAGGATGAAGATAGTAATGAGAAGGAGGATAAGGTAGTAAGTTTGGTACAACTTCTTCATAGGAAGGTTGGGTGTTTGGAAAATTGTAATTCAACGTTTTTTCCCTTTCTTCTTCTCGCGATTTCCTGAGTATTGTGAATTACAGTAACGAACTTAGTTACCTGGTGTATAGTAGTACTTCCCTTGGAAATATGAGTTTTTCAATGATCGTACGAGTATTGATATTTTCTTGGTCACTGGTGTGTGTGTTGTGGAAAAGATTCGATCTTGGGGTTAGGGAGGATTGGAGATTGGAGATGGGAGATAAGTCTTGATGGTAGGGGAGGGGATAGATAGATAAACTGTAAGGTGGTGATGTTCTTTGGGGAAGGGATGGGTTGTTGGTTTATGGTATTGTGGGATTACTATAGTATTACTAATGACTTGAGTGGGTTTTAGGGTTTTGTTTATTTGGGGATTGAATTGGAAAGAGAATATGGGTGAGGAATGGGTAGATAGTATCATAGTAATTAGAGAAGGATGTTACACTTTGAAGGGCTATTACCTCACCCTATATATTACAGTATGTCAGTATAGAACACCACTTTTCAATCCTTTCCATTCTTTTATCATCTACGCGCTTCACTATATAGTAGGATTACACACCTTCTATTTCCTAGAAGTTGAGTTTATAGTCTAGAAATAGAAATAGAAATAGGACGTAAAAAAGATCTCTTCTATCCTTCCAATTCCCGACGGACTAGTAGATGATGATATCGAGACTAAGATCTAGCGTAAGAATACTTGAATACTTGAGAATATATGCAGGTGAAACAATTATGGGGGATGGATATTAGATACTACTTCCCTCACCCAACGAACCACCTATATATTTCCAAGCGGTACGGTTCGTTAGCGTGATGAAAATCGTATCTATTACAAGTACACATTCCACATTGTGCATGGCTGACTGACTATTTGGAAAAGGCTCCGAGAATAGGGGGATTTATCGAACGTTATTTCTATAATTCTATTTATTATACTCACATGGTGGAAGAACTACTCGTAATAGTAATACCACATTTCATCTTCCATGCTCCGTAAGATAATGTTAATAGCTATCCTGATTCCTCACAAATTCATCAAAAACAGAATTCACTTTCCTCCCATCCTCCTATCCCTTGATCCTGACAAAACAACCACAGAACAAAACAGAACACACACTTCAGAACCCCTATCAGGCTATTAGCTTTATTACTCAACACATCCCTCACCCTCAAAAGAACCCCAAGGAAAGAATCGACTCATAGCCAGCCTCGTTCCCATGCTCTTTTTCATTTTCGATTTCTTGTTAGGGAGGAGAGAGGAGGGGGGATTCTTCAAGGTGCTCTGGGGGAAAAGTTACGTAGTGGGTAAATAGACAGACGAAAACCCTTGCGAAGAGTTTTGACCTTCGAGATTCTCGGGTATCAGACATAGTTCACGAGATATTCACAATTATCTTCAACCATAGATTTCTTTTCATGAGGTTTCGTTGATTATTCATTTCACGACAAAATGGCCGCAAGACTCTTGTGGAAGAAGCTTGTTGTGCTATCTGACAGGTGAAGTGTCAACTTCCCACTCCGACCTATTCTCCTCCGGCGATTTCTATCACTCGACCAAACGCGCTACTGTTCAGCCCACCCATTACAAGAATTTCATGTGATGTGTTTATTTTTTTTCTGTCGGATGCAATTACAAGCTAGTAATTCAGAAGGTCTCCATTTAAGAAGGAGGAGCTCCACGACCACGTCCCATACCAGCGCCACGGCTATTGAAAAAGATTAGTTTTGGATTTGGGAAAGGAGATGATAAGGGGTAAAACTTACAACTCAGGTGCAAATCCACCGGATGGGGCTCCCTCCTTACCCTCACCACCGGCTTCACGACGTCTGTAACCTCCCTCACGGTCACCACGGTCTCCACCGCCACGTCCTCCACGACCACCGAATGGCTTGCGCTCACGCTCACCCTCACCACCCATCATACCACGAGGAGGTGCGTGGGATCGTTGTTGCTTGATGTGTGTAGCTGGGACAATCTCAGCGGGGAGGTGGAGCCACTCGCGGAGGTAGTCGAGACCCTCAGGGGTGAGGGTGTAGTAGTAGTATTGCCATGAGAATTGGGTCTTGACGTATCCTCGCGAGGTAAGGGATTGGCAGGCCTTGACGACGTAGAGGTTCTTGGTGTCGATGTCGGGGTGCTTTGGAAGATCGTAGTCCTTCTTGGCGACGAGGACACCCTCTCGGAAGAGGTACTCGTGGATCTTCTTACGGTCGGCCTTTGGGATAAGCATCCTGGAGAATTGATGTTATTATATGGTTGTCTGGATGGTTATGCAAATTGAACGATGCGCAAGATGGTGGGCGGCGCGCAATATTCTCCAAGCTCCAACGGAGCAAGTCGATGAATATCGTGATCGCGGGGTAATCGAAATATACAAGATGGCCGCGCGTATGTCCTTGAATGCGCAACCACCTAAGTTCAAGCTGGGAAAGAATGTACTTACTTGGCGGATTTGACGTTGGTGTTTGTCGAAAAAAAGCTGAAGGATTGAAGGTTGTGGAGGAGATAAGTTCAGACTTTCTGTGTGCGTGGATTAGCGAGACTGGTGCGAGTTCGGTCCGGATAAGATACGATCGGAGCCGGCAACGGCTCGGAGGAACCTGGAACCTTTCGAGCCTCTGCTTTGGAGTAAATCTGCAATTCACCCAACAACCTGCAATCATTCAGTAAAACTTCAGGAGATCAATTCGATTGTTTTAAATTGCATCATCAGGTACAGACTAGTTTCCTTTCTCTAAAAGGATTGTATCGATTACAGAAGTAAGGTTATATAACCCTCAAAACTTACTCACATCCAATTCTATCTCTACACTAGACGACTAGTATGCGATTCGTCTTATCCTAAGGTCTTACACCCACTACAACATCAAGCTACGAGTAGGTAGCAATCTTTTTAATGGAATAAACCATGGAGTGAGAGATATAAATGAATTTGTCAATAGGAGGGTATATTAAGTAATATAAACGTGCCTTCCACCATTCATTCAATCAATCTACCCATCCCCCCCGAGCCAATTCCAAATTCCAAAATTCGAATTTTCCATCCATCATGTGTAATGCTAAGTCAGGCTAGGCAACCCCATTCCAAAAAAAAAGACGGCTCATCAAAACCCGAATTGTGAATACAAAGTTTGCTTCCCAGAAAGACCCATTCTAACATAGGCTCGTTGTATAACCGTAAACGCCTGTGTGCCAATGTTACAGAAAAGAAACAAGAAAAGGTATAATACACTCCATGAAATATATCCAACCACCAGCTATAGACGAGTATGACCCCGTCATCATCTTATTTTCGAACAGCCCCCGTAATAAAACATAATAATAACTCAAGGAACCCAAGTGAGAACAATAATACTGTCTCGCTCGGGAAAATCTTCCTTGCTCTTCACCCACCGCTCGTCACTCCGACTCTTCTTGTAAATCTGCTTGACCTTCCCATCCCTCTCTAACCTCGCATCCAGGAGGCCCCATTGTAGTTTCTTTCCCGTCTTTGAGAAACTGCGGCGGAGCTCGCCAAATTTATAGCCCAAAGTTACGCCTACGTGATCCGCATCAACAGGGATATCAAAAGTTCCCTCGGTCTGGTCGGGATCAAAGTCAATTCCCTCCGGGTACTGCGCAATACTGTAGCCATTTGATACAATGAAGTTGTCTTTGAATTGGAAACGTTGAAGAACACAATCCTCGCCACATGCATCGGCTACGACATGGTATTTTGCAACGTCAGCACGGTGCCAGGATTTGAAATGGTGGACACTCAATGGCTGTTCACCGCTTTCGTAAAATCCAGATGGGTCCCCAAATTGGTCCATTTGGTTGAGACGAGGTTGATAGGTGATTGTTACCGAGGTTCTCTCATGTATACAATTGTAGAGAAGACGATCTCCTTGGTTGGCATCGAGTGCGTATCTTCCATCTTCTCTTCTTTCTAGGCAGTTGGCCTCGGAAACTTGTTTTGCAAGTGGAGCTGTAAGAAAGACCCCTCCTCCTCCATAAGCCATTGGAACATGGTTATCCAGGAACCAATCTACTCGCTCTGTGAATGTGCCAATGTAGTAGGGCTTGCGGTAGTCGTAGGTAAATAGAGTTCGTGTGAGCTCTGACATGTATGGGAAAAAGGTATCGTCATCAATGAGGGCGAAATATTTACGTTGAGCTGAGGTGGGGTGGTTGTAGAGCATATTCACAAGATCAACATATCTCCCGGGCATGTCGAGTTCAAGATTGGAGGGAACGACTGTCGCATTTATTCCAGCGTTTGCCAACACCTGCGAAGCTTCTTGCATTTCTGCATCCGTACCATTGAACAGGGCCAAAATCAAACCAGCACCATTCGATCCACCCTTCCCATCGGTCAGCCATCGCTTGAATTCATTTATGGGCGAAACATCTTTCGAATTGAACCGATCAAAAGTGGTCGAGGCTCCAAAGATCAGACCCGAGGCATCGACATCATCGCGACGGGAAAGATGTTTGACATGCACACTAATGGTCTTGCCTACTGGCAGAGGGGTGTTGGCGTTGGCTTTCAGATCCACAAAGTCGTCGGGTAGAAGATTGTGTTCGACTTGAGTGAGCTTTAGTCTTTCCTTTGCATCGGGAATATACTGAATTGTTCGCGCAGCGTAGCTTATCTCGGGCCCAATTCCATGATCCTTCAGGACCTTCTTCACCCACGTCGCAGGATCGAGGTCGCCACCATAGATGGTGGATGAGTGTGTATAGGCGGATAAAGAGGCTCCTGTCAGGTTGGGGTGGTAGACATAGACCACGACCATCACTGCAGCCACCGCGAGCCAACGATAGAGTGGTGTTCGAGGCAACATGTTGCCGCCGGGTGCGATCATAGAGGGCGAGAGGGCGAGAGGACGTAAGCCAATTATAGCATCAAAACGAGGGTGGTGGTGTTGAAACGCCGAATGCGCTTGAGGATCGTGGGATGTGGGATGTGGAATCTGAAATCGCGGAGGGAGGGCCAAAGGAGGGACTCGATAGAGGAATATAGGACGTGTACGGGAGAGACGACAAGAACACCCAGAGGAAGGGAACGCACAGGAACACAAAACTTGGTGCGACGAAAAGGAGAGTGTAAGTTAGAAGAGATGGTGACTTTGGAGAAGAATCGTGAACGAGAGAAATTGGAGAGGAGAGGAGGAAACGGAGCCCAGCCCTGACCCCCTCGAGAGTATTTCTTGGTGGTATAAGAAACCTGGCTCACTGGCTCGCCTGGCAGTGGTGTAAAGGGTGACTGGCACGACTGGGCACTGGGCAAGAAACCTGCGTACGACGATGGCGCTAGTGCTCATGCTAAGGCTCCGCGTTGGCTGTGGCTGCAGATGAGCCGCCAGGAATAGAAACTGCGCAAAGCTTGACCCAGTTGACCCGGCTGTCGTAAAGATCCCTTGAAGAAGTCAGATCTTAAAGTCTACTAAACTTAACTTTAGGAGCGGATTCTTTTTCCAGCACTAAACCTATCTTCAACCATCATCGGTTTCTTTCTTTGGAGAACTTGTACTGGCAAATGTATGAAGACTCTTCATCAATGTCAAGTCGAGTTCAGGCCAAGGGAGGGGGAGGGGTGCAACCTTAACAAGCGAGCAAGGGTTCGTCCCCTTTTTCAGATGAGAAAAGGGGTATTCTCTGTTTGGCCTTAGCGGGGATCCTGTGTCATAGGGCTCGATGCATCACCATTTGAATAGGTGTAACACATTCCTACCATACTCGAGTATAGTTTACAGAATAGGAAATGGTTAAGACCAGGTCTACACGTACCGCACGAGAAGACTGCCGTTAATTATATCAACTGGCTTTTTTCTATGGACTACAGTATGCCTCCTATGTGTAGGTATGCCACCAACCATGTGGGCGATGCTACTGGTACCTACCAAATATAGAAGTAGGTAAAAGATCTTTCTACCAAGTAACAGAGTAATATCAAAACAGCCCTAGGAGAATTTCTCGCTTCTATTTACGCTCCGAGAAGCGAATGAGGCGAGTCGGGAAGCGTTCAAGGCCACCTCAGGCACAGATTGAGATCCCTACCAGCGTCGCGTCTCAGAGTCGCATCCTCTCGCCTCACCTCCCCCAGGCCTCTCGCTACGCAGGTACTGGTGGTACCTACCGAGCATACTTTGTACTTTATATGAACCAAGCCTGTCACACGTTGGGGCTTCTTCTACGTGAAAGTCGGAGCCTCATCCCCAACGTCACTCCATCTCTTTTCGCCGTCGCATAAAATACTTCGTATATACTTCAAGCGCTGTCGGTGCTTCATGGACCCTCCCCCTCCAGAAATGCGAGTGCTCTGAGGAAGAGCCACAATCTGAGGGGTTCGCATAGCGTCCTCACCAGCGTGGCACATCGGGTTCTACCTGCCCTTTGGAGCGGTTTTCAGTGCACGTCATACCAATAACGACGGGATGACTTGGACTTTGGGGCATGCATTTGCAGTTCCATTGCAACCCCCAAAACAACCGCACCGTGGATGGATGCATCGTGTCTCTGTCTCCAAAATCGCGCGTCATTGAAGACATAGACATTTCTTCTCTCCCCCAGACACCCTGTACCCCCATACCCCCATACCCCCTCTCTCTTCTGCACGTTCCAACTTCCCAGATGCATATGCGGTGAGCGTTGGACGGGTGCAGCAACGGGTCTTAGTGCCTTGGTTAGTCGTCAGTAGCTCCAACAATCAGTCCAGTCACAGGCTTACAGCGCCATGGCCGACCCTGAGAGCGAGGTCGAGAGCGGGTGCAGTGGGATCAAGGAAACTCCAGATCCCGGTGTGCTGCCAGGTACATGTACTGATCCCGAAATCTCGACTTCTGCTTCGTCCTCCGTTGCCTCTTCGTCCACCGCAAATTTGGGTTTGAGTTTGGCTTCGGATTCGAATCCTGCGAGTGCCTCAAATTCGACGCTGCGGCCAAAGGCCAAGTCGCGGACGCCTTCCACCAATCTTCTTCCAGTTGCAATTGGCCCTTTGAACACAAATCGCAAAAGTCGATTCGCAGAACCCGGGACTACAACCACACATGCAGAGCGCGCCAGCATTTCTATGCCCCCGCCCTCGATCCCGCGATCCCGAACCTCCTCGTCCTACTCGAAAAGAACAAGTGTGGTCGATTCATTGAGGTTGCCGTTGACGTCAGAATTCAACAGTCGCCGGTCCAGCAAAGATAGCATAGCGGTCGAGGACATGGAGACCCCCAAGCTGTCTCCAGGAACCACCATGTCGGACGACTCCAAACATTCCCAATTGCCAGATGCGGCTCCTCCCAGTCGCCCCTCCATGTCAGACATAGACACCAAGCGCATGTCGGTGTCTTCAATGTACTCTTTGACATCGGTGAGAGCTGGCGGAGCACCTAGTTCGGCGGCATCTGCAAATGGATCTGAAGGCGGAATGAACACAAGAGTGCCGTCTGGCACTTTGTCGCCATCCAAGGCGATGGGCATATCGCAAGCAGAGACCTCTACCTCTGCGATTTCAGTCACAACCTCCTCCTCAACCCAATTCAGCTCTCACGGATCTACGTCTGGACCTTCGCTGACTCCGCGAGAGACTCCGGCCAATGCCTCGGACATTGCAAAACGTAACGCTGCACAAAGAGGAGAGGGTGCCCCTCGACCACATGTCCCAACAAGATCGCGTAGTCGCGCAAAGAGGAGGTTCAGCGGAAGTACCGCTGCCAGCAGCCACAGCCCAAGTAGTGACAGAGGCGATAGACCCTATCAGACTAGGAAAGAAGAAGATTCTAAATCTGCTCCATGGGGTGTTATTGGTGTTTGTGCTCTTGATGTGAAGGCTCGAAGCAAGCCGAGTCGAAATATTCTGAATCGTCTCATCTCTAACAAGGAATTTGAAGTCAAGGTATTTGGAGACAAGGTGATTCTGGATGAGGACATCGAGAACTGGCCCATCTGTGATTACCTGATCTCATTTTATTCGGACGGGTTTCCACTCGACAAAGCAATTGCGTACGTCAAGGCTCGAAAACCATTCTGTGTCAATGATGTGCCCATGCAGAAGATTTTGTGGGATAGAAGAATTTGCTTGATGATTCTAGACAAGATCAGTGTACCAACGCCAACAAGAGTGGAGGTCAATAGAGATGGTGGGCCGAGTCTCTTAACTCCTGATATGGCGGTACACCTAAAGGAAACCACCGGTGTGGTTTTGGATGGACCTGAAGATGGGACCGGTGGAAGTATTGTCCCGCCCAAGAAAGTCGAGCTCATCGAAGATGGTGACGTATTGAGTGTTGATGGTGTGCTCCTCAAGAAGCCCTTTGTGGAGAAGCCCATTAGTGGAGAGGACCATAACATCTGCATCTACTACCCCAAGAGCCAAGGGGGCGGGGCGAGAAAGCTGTTTAGAAAGATTGGAAACAAGAGTTCGGAAAGAGTTGAGGGAATGAATACACCCCGTGCAATTTTGGAGCCTGAAAGTAGTTATCTTTATGAGCAGTTTATGGACGTCGACAACGCTGAAGACGTCAAGGCCTACACGGTTGGTCCCAATTTCTGCCATGCTGAGACTCGCAAGTCTCCCGTAGTTGATGGTTTGGTTCGAAGAAATACTCATGGGAAGGAAATACGATATATCACCAGTCTTTCAAAGGAGGAATCAGCTATGGCTAGCAGGATCGCTGTAAGGTTTGGTCAAAGGGTGTGTGGGTTCGACCTGCTTAGGGCAGGAGGGAAAAGTTATGTGATTGATGTTAATGGGTGGAGTTTCGTCAAAGACAACGACGAATACTACATCCAATGTGCCTCTATTTTGAGAGAAATGTTTATCCGGGAGAAAAAACGTCAATTAGGCATACCTGTGGATGCTACTCCAGTTCAACCAAATCTCTCCGACGGTACGATTAGTCCACCAGGCAGACCGGGTACCATCAAAGACAGCAGCCACCGATCGACATTGCAACACATTCTTTCCAAGTCTCCCAGTATATCAAAATTGCATGCTCACCATCATAATAAGAAGCAAACTGCAGCTGCAAATGCATCCCCTGATGCTTCAACTGCACCAACCCCGAGGACATCACCGCCTCTGGGGGCGGATAGAAGTACAAGCCTTCCACAAGTACCTGAAACTCCATCATTACCTCCACCAGCTGTCCCAACACAGTCTCTACGCATACCTTCCGTAGCGCCATCAACTACCTCATCTACTCCAGCGCTCTCTTCCTCGCAAGAAAGTGAAATGCGACCTCCAGCACCCAAGCATACTTGGAAGTTGAAGGGTATGGTTTCTGTCATTCGGCATGCTGATCGGACTCCAAAGCAAAAGTATAAGTTCACGTTTCATACCAAACCCTTCGTAGACTTGCTCAAGGGTCATCAGGAAGAGGTTCTTCTAACGGGCGAAGCGGCACTAGATAGCGTCATTGTTGCTGTTGATATTGCAAAGCAACAGGGTATTGAAGACAAGGAGAAGTTGCGAACTTTGAGAAATGTGCTAGTGAAAAAAGGCGGGTGGCAAGGAACGAAGGTCCAGATCAAGCCAATGTTCAGAAAGCGAAAGCCCGAAGAAGTTTTGTCTGTCATTCCTGGTTTCTCTGATCCTAAAGTCGAAATCCCACAAGCCGCAGCACCAAAATCCCCAAAACACCGCGTCAAGGAGCTTGTTCAGGAGTCATCTTTAGACGAAGACGGAGGCGGTGTGAGGAGATCCCCAACCAGAAGTGACTCTCTATCCGGTGTTACTCTATCACGAATCACCGCCGCTGAGAACAGCCTGGTACTGGACAAACTTCAATTAATTGTGAAGTGGGGAGGTGAGCCCACACACTCAGCTAGATACCAATCCCATGAACTTGGTGAGAATATGAGGAATGATTTGTTATTGATGAACAGAGAGGTTCTCGACGAGGTTCATGTCTTTAGCAGCTCTGAAAGACGCGTCACAACTAGCGCACAAATCTGGGCATCAGCCTTCACAGACCAGAAGCAACTTCCCCCAGATTTCATTACCATCAGGAAGGATCTACTGGATGACTCCAACGCTGCCAAGGATGAGATGGACAAAGTCAAGAAGAAGCTCAAGACTTTACTCAGACAAGGTATCGAAGCTCCACCGCAGTTTGCATGGCCTCCTAACATGCCGGAGCCTTCGATCGTGCAAGCCTACGTGGTTCAATTGATGAAGTTTCATAGAAGAGTTATGCGCCACAATTACTCCAAGCTATATGGGGGCGCGTCCACATCCCTCAATGCTATTGCGAATCCGGGAGATAAAGACAGTGTCAGCTCATCATCATCAAGCTCTGCCATGTCACAAGCGTCCGAGATCAACAAAATCCAATCTCGATGGTGCTGCAATGAAGATCCAGAGCTATTTAAGGAGAGATGGGAAAAGTTGTTTACTGAATTTTGTGAGGGTGACAAGGTTGACCCAAGCAAAATATCTGAGTTGTATGATACTATGAAGTTTGATGCTCTTCACAATCGACATTTCCTTGAACGGGTTTTTACGCCTAGCAAAAGTATCCTTGAGGAAGAGGAAGAAGCACTTGCTGCAGAATCCAAGGGCATGGATAAAGACCGACCAAGAGAATCAAAAGACCTCGATGAAGTTGTAAGGAGTCAGACCGTACCGATGGAAAAGGCAGATACCAATAGAAGCGCTCGACACCGAATATTTAGACGGCGAACTTCAATGATGACAGCACGGCCAAATGCAGAAGACGCACCTGAGCAGTACTTCAAATTATTTACTGGCAGCAGTCAAACCCCAGCGAAGACTGATCATCGTCTAGAGAAGCTGAGGGAGTTGTATAGGCTAGCCAAGATTTTGTTTGATTTTATTTGCCCTCAAGAATATGGCATTACAGACCATGAAAAGCTTGAAATTGGATTGCTTACTTCACTTCCTCTCTTGAAGGTATGTCGATCATTGCTTGCTCTAGGGGAATTGCTAATGCTAGCTAGGAAATCGTTCAAGATCTCGAAGAGATGCAGGCTTCAGATGACGCTAAGTCCTTCATTTACTTCACCAAGGAATCTCACATCTATACCCTCCTGAACTGCATTCTCGAAGGCGGTGTTGAAACTAAAATCAAACGCAGCGCAATCCCAGAACTTGATTACCTTTCACAAATTTGCTTTGAGCTCTATGAATCCGAAAACAAAACTCCGCATGACGCTCCTCCGGGGGATGTCGCCAAGTATGCATATTCGATACGAATCAGCATCAGCCCAGGGTGTCACACGTTTGATCCTCTGGACGTACAACTTGATAGCAAACACTGTATCAGTTGTGCGCAACGGAGGAGTTTGACGGATCACGGAGATTGGAAGATGATGATTGAGACGTTGAAGGCGAGATTCCATCAGTAAGTCAATTACTGCCGTGCCCCTTTTACCCTCAGTTTAGATGAATACTAGTATCTGACTGAGAGTGATAGGGTCAAACTCCCAAAGAGTTTCCTCGCCGTGAATCTCAGCGAATCACATAGCTTTCACAAGAAGGAGGATTCGCAGGACCAGATACCGTTGACAACGGCAAGTATTGGTACTGTGAAGGATGAGGGCGTGCAGCCAATTCCTATTCCTATTCCGACAGATTTGGGTCTAGACTCCGCGGCGACGAATGTGAGTTTGAGCTCTTCAAAGCCATCTTCTAGCTCGCAAAATGCTTGATCAAAGACGAAGATGCGAAAAGAAGGAAGTATGGGGTCTGGAAATTATGTACGCCTCACCAATTCCCAACGACACGGCCCCACATACCGATAATAATAAAGTTCTTCACCCCTTTTCTCATAGCCGATGTCTCGGTTCGGGCCTAATGAAGGAGGGGTAAAGGTGGAGCTCGGGCTTTACCACCCGCCATGGAATTGTTGGTGTGGATGGGAATCTCCAGCAATTGCAATTGCTATTGATGTATCAACTTCCTTGATTCCTTTTTTCCCCTTCCTGCATCTGCATCTGGTGCTTGCATATTCTCCTTTTCCTTTTTCTTCCTCGAGCATCTCGGCGTACCGGGCGCACCGAGCGTTGGGGGTTGCATGTTTTTGGTTCTGCTTTTGTTCTTGGCTTTTTGGCCTGGGTGGGTGTACTTGCCTTGTTTGGTGGAGTTCGCATGTGCTGGCTTACTGTGGTGTTTCTATGCGGTGTGGTGTGCATGCGTGATGTTCGGATTGATAGAAGAGCAGGGGGTGTGAGAGGGTTGGTTTTGTGGTAGTTGGGTGACTGTGGCCGGGTTTATGGCGCCTATTGAAGATGTCTTGATTTTAGAGGAATGGATCGTGAGTGGGGATGAGGTTTTGTTATGAGATAAGATGAGATGAGGGGTTATGAGTTATGGTTTTTGGTCGGTACGGGGAGGGGTGGGAGGTTGTGAAGTTGTGAAGTTGGTTGTGGGGCTCGTATGCCTAGGTGTAGTTGGGGTGGAGAGATAGATGAAATAGATGATAGAATTCAATTCATACCGGTAGGTATATATCACCTAGACTTTCTTTGAAGGAAACACCGTTGAATCGTTGATGTTTAACATGAGTTACCTTGGGTAGATTGGGTTTGTAGAAATGAAAATTGATACAGTACAGACTATCCAATATATGTCCAAAACGTACTGTAGGTAGTCGAGGAGTTCCTGGAGCTTCTCTGCACAGATAAATTGACTTATTGTGTCACTGACTAATTGTAGTGTCTTTATCTAGGTTGGTCGGTAGGTACGGTAGGTAGGTGGCGAAAAGATATGGTCGAAGACTCGTGTGGTTACATAGGTAGAGAGCCAAGGGAAGCTTGAGGTTTTAATAATGATCTTCATGCTTTTGTTAATACCGCATCGAACAGGGGTATGAAGGGTATGAATGGAATGAAGGGAATGGAGATTCTTTCGGCTATATACCTACACGTACTTGTCGGTGGCACATCTTGTGAATGACTTGGCTTACTGTAGGTTTGTAATTTGATGTATAACTGGGTAGGGTGCTTGTGTTCTCATGATATGTAAGATTACTGTAAATTGATACTCATAATACCACTCGAGATCCTAAGACTACGATACTCTGGGAGCATAAGATAAATCAAAATAACACAAAACCTACTGTAGCGAAAGAAGGGAACAGCCTCGGAAAGATCAGAATGATTCAGAGACAATGTGCCCAGTCTCAAAGGTTCGAGTACATCTTAATAGTACCGGGAAATATTGAATGAAAGTGTGGCATTAGTCCTCGCGGGTGATGAGGTGGTGTCCTGGTGATGTAGATGAGTATGTATTCCTTTGGAAGTTCTTACCTGCATTGTACTGCCCCTGCATGGCTGTCCATTGCTCCTGTGATTGATCACCTTGTGTGGCGATTTTTTATGGTGGGAATTGGCGAAATGGTTAGAAAGGGGAAGGGTTATATTCTTGAGGTCCATGGGGGAGAGAGTGCTGGCTTGGGATTTGGGATTTCGGGTTTTAAGGGAGTGGGAGGGAGAGAGCGAGGGAAGGAAGGAAGGATGGATGGAAGGAAGGACTTGTCGACTCGACCTAGGGAGGCGTTGGGTTTAAACCAGGGTAGTTGTGTGATAGATGGAAGTTGACGCGAGTTGAGGTTGGCTGAGAGGAAGAGGGAGCGTGGGCATGACGGAAAGAGCAAACTTATGGGAGTTAATGAAGGCAGGGTCTGACGGTGGGAGTGAGAACGTGGAAGGTGTACCCTCAATTGTTTCCGGGCTATCTTAAGGTGAGGTGCGACTGCCTGGTTGAGGTCAAGGCTGAACTTGGAATTCGAATTCGAATTTGATATGGAATGATCTGGGAAGATGCGAGGTGTGTTGTGACTGGTGCTTGTTTAAGATGGTTGAGGTGAGAGAGTGTAAAAGTAAGTCAGGAGCTCCTGGGTAGACGGGAACCAGTCCTGCCCTGCCCACTGGATCCATATGGGACGTACCTTCCTTGACTTCCATCTCTCAACCGCAACCGTACCCTCGATCATACCTAACCCGGCTCAACTTCCAAGGAGGATCAGCAGTCAACATGACTGAATCCCAAGCTCGGGCTACCTACCATTCGGCCACGGCACTTGGACTGGGACTGGGAATGGGACTGAAGCGAGGAGGTACAGTACCAGGTAAGGGAAGGCACGACACTCGGTCCGCTTTCTACTTTTATCAACTCAACTAAACTCTGTCTTTCGCCCCGCTTTGGGAACCAGGATCTTTCCCGCGTGGAGGTGATGGGGTCCACGTTGTTATTGTATCCGAGTCGGGACTGATATAAAGGGGGTGAACCGGGTAGTCACTGGTCAGTTAAAGCTGGATACTGTCCTTCTTTAACTATATTACGGCTCGACCTCGATTTTTAGCTAAATGAGCGAACCAGAGACTCTAGTCTGGGTGATGTAGAGGTTTCTCACATGTGGTCTACGTGATAGTGTCCAGGTTTAATAGTCCACGAAGCCCCTTTACAATGTATACCTAGCTGTCGTTATCTTCATCTCTTAATTCCCAATTTTTTTTGAAGGGAAAAAAGAAGAAGAAGACAACGACGAAAGCCTAGAAGGTCGTTTCAAAATCCCAGCCAAATGAATTACAGTACAGTACAATATCTAAAAATACACCATTTAGTTATTTCGTCAGTCACGTTTATTGTACTACGGCCCATTTGAATCTGTTTACATGATATAGAGTAAGTCCTGGGCTAGGCGGACAGATATTGACGTACCGGTACAAAAGCAGAGGGAATACCTTCATACATTTCATTTAGATGACTTCTTGTGAGGACAAGCATGAAGAATTGTATATTCTCAAAGTATAAAAGTTACTAGCCTGACCTCAAACAACATGATTTATTTCTCCCCCTCTCTCTCTATCTTTTATAGCCACACTTGATACACCCAACCCACTCATCCATCGTAAACAAACAAAAAGACACCAAACAGTACCTACAGTAGTGTTCTTACAAATCCGAAATACATGATCGAACGTTGCCCCGAAGCACATTACAATCTTGCAGCAGTATCTCCATACGAAAAATGATTCTCGAGTGAATCCCCCCATCTCCGTCACTTATACATAATACACCTTTACATATATAGAGATGAAAGATTTTGATCGAACTTGGATGTGGTACGGGTGAGAGGGGCACGTAGTACGAAAACCCGTCGAGGAATAAAACAAGCGAGCGAACCAGGAGAGGGTGGTCAGGTGGTAGGTAAGCAAAGGCAAACAAAACTCGATAACATTGGGGCGAGAGAAAGAAAGAATGGTGATTCAAGATGAGGATGGATGAAAGGAGACAGACAAAGATGAGAACCGGGTTTCTAGTGATGTGTAAACGCTGTGGTGGAATAGGTCAGGTTGTATGCGATGAGATATTTATTCATCTGCTTACTCAACGCGAAAAGGATCCACACCCGCGCCTTGTGGTATTCACAGATCAAACCATCGATTTGGGTTTCCTGTGAGACATGCTTGCTTCGCTAAGAATGATGTTGAGCTTTGGCTTGGAATACCTGGTACCTGCTTCCCTTCTCGCTCAAAAGAAGGTGCTGTACTCGTACAATACCGAAGTATCCGCGAGCTTTTCTCGTTATTCAAAGCAGAACCTGAGTTTAATGTGTTGGCTCCTTTTGAGGAAGGAGACGTGAAGAGTAGGTGTTACTGATGCGAGTCCACGGGCTATAGTTAGTAAGTGTAGGGAAGCTGGTGTTGCGACGAGGAGATTGATGCAAAAGGAGTCGAGTTCAGTTTGGAGGAGTGACAGGGAGTATCGGCGATAGAAACAAAAGAAACCAGGTTGAATTCGATCCGTCTCCAAGGCTTGTTGGTGTACCGAGCAGCTGTCATTGATGGGGTGTGCACTACTGTAATTCTAGCTTCCTTACTCGATGACTTGCGTGAAAGGGTATTAAAGAAAGCGAGGGGAAATACAGTACCGAAGGACGGAATTCAGCGGTATAGAGCACACGTGAGGCCCCCAGGAGGGGCGGGGTAGCTAGATTATCTCGCTGCCTTCGGGTTATCAATATCCAGGATAGTTAGGTTACCGTGATCTTATAAGGAGCGGAACATCCCGCCTGGGCTCCAGCTCGAACCGCTGACATGGTACTCTCAAGTGATTGAAGCATGGAGATCAATCCATAGATCTATTTCACTTCATGTTCTTCGCCCGCTGCTCACAATTGAGGAAGCCCGAGGGTTGTGAAATATGATGACGCCGAAAATTAGCGCCTCCTTGATGGAGTGCTGATCGGTTCAAAGGGGCATGTATCACCACCCGTACGCCTTTGATTTGCTCTCGAATGCAACTATAATATATCAACCTTGGGGTCCATGTGGTGAGGTGTGAAAGACAACGAGAAAGGTAATTGGGCGGCTGGATGGAAGGAACCGAAAAAGGGGTGCGAGAAAACAGGCCCTATTGGAGGAATATCCATCCGCATCAGATGGATTCGATCCTCAACCTAGCTCAATATCACCAAACAGCATGGATAGACTGCAGCTCGGATGGTTGGTTCTGGGGTAGAAGCGGTATACCATGGCGTTACGTAGGATCGAGAGCAGAAGACAGTTCCAAGGCGGAGCTATCTGCTTAGGGAATTTGCCGAGATGTGGAGAGAGATGATCCAGAAGTTTTTGGTTATATTTCAACTTTGATGCTCGATGTTTTGGTAGGATATCTGGATTCAAATTTCGAATGTTTGGTTTCGCTCCTGCTTATGGAGGAGAAATATGGAAAAAGGAACGGCGAACAGTACAAACTAATGGGTAGAAACGGTATGATGACAAATGGGTCTGTGGGAGTAGGATACCTGTTGATGGAACAGGCTAGAATAGCGACACCCTAGCGATTGCAGACAACCATCCATGTTTCAATTCCTCTTCTGTCGAGAATAGGGGCGCGTGCCTACCAGAGCTATCAGAATATGCCGACGAAAATCAAAAGTGAATGCCACGAGGTTGTTGATCCCAACGCCGATGGATGTGATCAGTTCTACTCTGTAGTATGACGGCATAATGGGCAGTTTCGGTGATTTTGTCAACGCAGTGGGTGGTAGTACATGCTGTTTGAACGTGTCGCTTCTTATACTTACTGCTACCATTATCGTCTAGGGTTGACTTCCACATGTGGTAACGATTGGAAGAGGAGCAGACAGCATATTCTTCATGCGAAAGTTGCGCATCGTGTGATCTTCCATAACAAATCCGATCCAAGAGCTGCTGACGGATGGTGTAGTAATTTCTCGGTCGTACAACCCAGGTAGACTACGTTGAATAGAAGGATAACAGAACTGTCACCGGTCGGGAAACCACTTTAGGGTATACTGGGTATGAACTAAATGCTTTCAGTTGTGCTCAATGTTGCAGGCCGGGAGTTCTGATCTTGACTTTGGTTATTGACGGTAATAAGCGAAATCAACAGACCTTCATCAGGAGAACCCGATGAACTGAGAACAGGTGAACAGGTGAACAGATCAGATCACGAAAAAGTGACATTCACTGCTAGATGAAACTAGCCGGACTGTGAGGAGCACCGCAACATCTAGACTCGTCGTTTCATTGACCAACGATCTCACTGGTTCGATATTCCATGCTCGGGCGCTTATATTTTGATTCTCATCAAATTTTATCAGATTTTGTAATTTTTGTTTTGTTGGCTCCCTAAGGATTCGGACTTCGAAACGGTATAAGAACAAATAGGAACAGTGCCACACTCTCGGTTACTCAGAAGCACTGTTCAGTTGACATGGTGGAAGGAGTCGTCTCTCTCGAGCTCTCTGTAGCCCGCCAGCGAATCTGGAAAGCCAAGCAATGTATATTTCCAGAAGTAGCGAAGTGCATATTTCTATACCGAATTGTGTCTTAAAACATTGTGGCGTTTACTATTCCCGGGGAAGTATTCAAAGAGCTCGATCAAATTTCGAGGGGCAGCCTGCGTTTGATTTCGTAGTCCTAAAATGGCGCCTCCTCTCTTCCAGTCAATGAATAATGGTGAGAAAAAAGTGACACTGGCAAGACGTTGCTCTCATCCACTATCGGATCAGTATCCGAGCATATGGCACCCTAGGTTTCCTGCGTACTGTATGCAACTCTCTAAATTCTCCGTATGGTTGAATGCCGACATCCTGGAGAAGCTCGAAACCGATGCAGCTTCTGCACTGTTACAATCGGGCTATACCAAGAGCCTTTAATATAAGATTACTCGGCCATAACCATCCCGTTTGTGGGAAAGCAGTTTCGCGTCTAAGAACAATTAAAGCTTCTCATGTAATTTATCAAATGTGACGGCCAAGATAGTTCCATTCAGTGCCAAACTGGGTCGGGACCGTGGCTGGCTGGTGATCGGGCAATTCTCATAGGCCCCGCTTATGCGATAAACCTGGTCATTGCATGTCTGTTTTTAACGTCGGGAGCAAAATATCGTGCTGGGAAGGCTTCCAATGTTCGTTTTTGATCAGCGACATAATCAAGATTGGCAGAAATTCAGGCGCTTTAACGAATTCCTAGAATGCTTCCGGCACAGATTTTGGGAGCTGGTTGAGGATGTCCTCATCGTCAATGTCACACTGCCTACATATTCTGCACAAGGGCGACATGTCGGAGTAGACGCAAAGGTGAGCTTCTTGGACGGGAGAAAGTCGATTCAGAAGGATATCATTGTAAATATAAGACAGATATCTTAAGGCACATCGACACTGTGCCGGCTTACAGTTAGCTACCAAAGGGGAGAGGGGCAAGGGACGGATCGACATGCCGATTGCTCATAGCCATGGCGATCTTGTCGTACCGGTATCTCACATGTATGTTCGTTTGGCGTACACGATAGCGACATTGTGGCGTAGGGTTGAAGGAGCCAAGTCAGATGTGTCTCACCTCCTCGCGATGATATCGTTCGCGGTGGGTGAGATATTTCTGCAGGTGATGATGTATGTAAGTTTGCCCGACGAACTACGTGAGCATGAGGGTTGGTATGGAAACAGCAAACAGTATTATGTTAATTCGTAGTTTGTAAATCCAGCCTGGAATGCACATTGTCCAGGGTTGAGACTGGTATGGGTGTCGATACCAGCTTTACTGAATAACAATAGATTTATATGGATGGTAACCGACACGCTGTCCCTACCATATCGATGAGGGCACAGCAGGTAAAGGACTTGGTCATTTCACAAGCGTTTATCCTTCCTGTGGATGCCTTGAAGGTTGCACAGATGGCTCTTTAGCCTGACGCCCCCTGTTCTGTCAACAGTCGTTTTGAGATCACAGCCTTGCAGCCCCTGTACCGAGTCCAAGGTTATGGGCGGGGAGAAATGAAACCCTGCCTCTCACTGCACCAAGAAATGTCGCTCAGGTAAACTGCCGCCATATTATTGTACCCATCAGCCGGATGCGTTTCTGACCGCTCCGTGTGCTCTGTGCGTGCAATGTTTGGCTTCTTGACATGCGTATTGTATAGTCGTCATTGCTGACGGTATTAATTGCGATCTTCAGAACAGAGGAGAAAGAAAAGCGATGTTGCGGTGGTGATAGAATGGTGTGGGCGGTTTATGTCAAACCGCTTAGGGATTGCCGAGCATACGACTCATCGGTTCTGCGGAAGCTGGGTGTGAAGAGGGGCGTAAAGACCAAACAGTCGACCGTCGCCGGAGCAATGGAGGTTGTGGATGATGAATATGCGGTGTAGAGTTAAGAGTGGTAGAGCCTTGATGCATGGCTTGGGTGAGGCTCACAAGTCTCTGCGTTCATGCCTAAGGCTGTACAAGGTAAATTTGTATTAGTCAACCCTATCTGCATCGGACTTGGCCTTTCGAAAGGCTCCCCCCAGTCGCCCCCTTTTTCTCTCGCTTTCAAACAACTCGCTTTCAAACATTATTCTTCCGAACTTCTCTCGTCTGAAATCCTTGATATTTGCAACTTTGACAGGACGTGATCGAGGCGCCACAGAGCTTGTCTTGATTTTGCAGCAGAAGCGTCGCGCTAATACTGTCGCACTGCTTCTGAATCGATAGCTTCCCTCTGGCCCCGGTTCGTTCTTAGATCTTGCCACGAGGCGTCGTTATATCGTAATATTCGCACGTCGCATCCCCGAGCCGACTGCATTTTCTGCTGTCTATGCCTACTGCAGACCTGACTTCGCCTCCATGGTCTCTGTCTCTCCGCTATTCCCAACTCGACTCGAAGCGACCCGATGGAGACACCGCAACACTAATAGTGATGGTACAGAAAAATGCCATGATCAAACGAGACTTATTCTTCAAGTGCTAAGGTGTTGCCGTGGAACATTATAACAGCCAAGCCCCTTGTCTTCTATATGGCATGCTTGTCTTCTGCATCGTGGTTGGCTTCTTCTCATGGATTTTTCCTTTCTCCTTTACCTTTCCTTCCTTTGCGCACCTCTGTTTCGATTGAGCTGTTCCAGCAAGAAAGTCTCGTGTCATTGCAGCCTCCAAGGGCGTCATGGCCATGGCCGGCCTTTCTTCTTGATGCATCCCAGCGGTGTCCTTTTAGGTTCTACATATACTAACCCAACATAACATCATAACATGACGATGCTAGCAATACTTTAGGAAATCAGGTTCTCATCGATGATTTCAGTTTCCAACCTTTCTCCCCAAGTCTCGTCTCCATTGAAAGGCAAAACACCAAGCCTGCCCAAGCATTGCATAATGATATCAGTCATATGCCCAGATGATAAACATCTACACCGCTTGTCGTCAACACAGAGGGGAACCTGCACAGAAAGAGGCTTCGGCGGCAAGCTTCCGAGAGCTCCCGGATTTTCACACGGTCGGAGCGAAGCTGGCAGAGCATCGTGAGGATTACCCCACAGTCCGTATGAAAGGATGGCTTCAAATCCAGTGACCAGTTGTGGTACCACCAAAGACGATGATCCAAAACGGTTTCCCCTGTTGCCTTGCAACCCGTTACCGTAATCTCACCCTGGACGGACGATGCATAGCTACCGGTTGCATTCAATGCTGCTCAAGGAGCATATGACGGCCAACCCCTACTGTAAACATGGACATGCTACTGATGCGAGATATGAAGGGATCGCTGCATCGGTGTACTTGCGTGATACTGGAGGCTGCTGCTTTGTAGTTGTACCCCACGACCTCCGTTCGCCTCCCTCCCCAAATGGTCTAGCTTAAGCAAGTTTGTAGTACAAGCGGGTTTCATTTTATCCGGCAGCTCGAAGAAGTACTGTACATGTACCGTACTTTAGAAGTGTATAGGTCTTTCTGAGCTTATCAAGCAACCTTTTTTTCTAAAGCCCGATTTGGGTGGAGTATGGGGGTACAGTCTTAGTTGAGCTAGTCAAGCAGCTCGCTCAGCAGGTAGGTAGGCGCTCGGCTACCCCTGTGCGTCCGTAAAGCACAAGCGACCAATTACGGAGGCTCTTTTCTATGACCCCACTCCGGCTCTCGGCTTTGGCTTTGGCTTTGGCTGATGGGGGAAGTACGAAAGATTCCGTACTCATACTTTATGTTTTTGTCCGTGCCCTCTTTTCTCCACCGTCTCGTCTCTTGATCCATACTCGCCCTGAGCCACATATCAAATTCTCTCCACTCTTGCTTCTGGGCCTTTCGTCAGCAACTGGAAACCAAGCCCAAGACAGAACCGAGATAGTAGTCCCGGTACCTGCTCTGTGGAACTAGCACTGGAACTGCCAGTATACTAGAAGTAGTACTCCGTATGGCCCCTGACCGGTACTTCGAACAAGCTCTGGGGATGTCATCGCTCAACCGCAAACTGCATTCAAGTGGTCACTAGTCAAGTAACTAGCAAGCCAGCGGCCAATTCTACTGCTCTTTGCCTGGCAGCAGCAGCAGCACAGCACCACCACCACCAGCAGGATGAGCATGGCATCACATCACATCACATCACGCCCAGGCCAAAAGGAGTAGTAGCGTTGATTCTAGCATGGCATGGTATGGCAACGTTGAACCGCCCAACGGCAGAGCCCCCCGCTTGCTTCAGCAATATCCACTTCTCAAAACGTGGAAGCCCCTCCGTAAACTGCTCTCCAGAGTGCCAAAATCAACCCACCTGCCTAGGTTGTATCTCACCCAGACCCAATGGCGGCTCTTCTCCCCCTGGTCTGCCACCTCCCCCCTTTCCTCCCAGACGACCTCATCTCCCCTGCACTCATCCACCTCATCCACCCTGCCCATTTCCCCCATGAAGCTACTCATCTGTTGCCACGGTAAGTATCCGGTCAGATTCAGATTCAGACATGGCAATCATAATCATCCCCAGGGGCTGGCACCTTATATACATACGTGCCTCTCCTTGGGCACGAGTGCTTGGTTGGGCAAGTTTGCAACTCTCCTCTTACTCACCTGTCTCATGGTCTCATCCTCCTATTAAATACAAAACAAGAAACCCACCGTGTACTGCTTTTGACCGCTTATAACACATAAAGCAACCTTTAGTAGCTTGGAGAAAGAAGCAAAGTGCGCTTGCTTAGTCGACTGATCTCAACCTTTCATTGGCCACTCTCATCAACACTTGACTTTTTCTCTCTTAAGGAGCACACTGTCCTTCTCTTAAGCCATCTTGTCATCTGAGAGTTTTGGAATCATCCGGAAGGATTCACTTTTGGACGTTCCTTCTTTAAGCTTTCGCTTTTGCAAAAGCTCAGGTCCTATCATAGCCATCGCAGCTATTTCTCGGCGTCATTAGCGCGACTCTTCCCACCTTGCGACATCTAGACCACCTCACAACCCAATTCATCTTTGGACATATCAACTTTCAGCAAGTTTCGCAGCCAGTGACGAGCCTCGAGGTTTGTACTCTACATCTCCCGTTTTCCGGCTGGTCTCGAGAAGTGCTGACAAAATCCTAGTTCAACCGACAAAGGCTCTCTCCTCGATTCGACGACCCGCGTACTGCTATAGAGAACTCGTGGAATCAGTTGCTTCTCCATCCAGGACCATGGCCGTTCCAGGATACTGCAGTCACTCCTTTATCATGCTCAAGTCGGATACTACCATGGTTCAATGGATCTGCCAAATGTGCCACGCCGGTCCGTTCAACCACATCTACGAGTGCAAATACTGCAAGCTCAAAACCTGCCGGCCGTGCTCGATGAAAGCCTGATTGTGTTGCTTCTTGTCCATTATTGCCGGTACGTAATTTCACATTGCTGCCCGTTGAAGTTCGGTCCGTGGTAGCAAACAATCCCACCATCCGCGGTTTATACACATCGTTTTTTTCGCGAGAGACGAAAGTTGCCACTGACATCAGCTTCGCAGCCCTACTGAGATCCGCCCTACCCATACCACCCTGTTCGTGTCACTCACGCATCTCTTTGTAAGTAGTAGCGGCCGGCTCTGTGAGGCCCACGTTGAGCAGACCGACCCGATAATGCAGGCTCCTCTGAACGTGGGATACTGCATCATGTACAGTAGCCGAACTTGGGGAACCGAATCCGGTGGTGGTCTCGGCCTCCAGCTCGGCCTCAGATCAGGGCCTGTGCTGTGCTTTGGGGCTGCAGGGAGGCCGCTTGTTGATTCCTGCAAGGACGATCCCAACACCACCGCCTTATTCCCGAGCGATGGCCCCTGAATTTCGGAACGACGAACACACACGACACACTCTTCGACTAATAATTTCCATTGCGAATAACGACTTGCACGATGACAATTTCCATTTCTTGTTTTCTTTCGCTTCTCCTTTTCTACATGTCGACACACCAACACCAGCCTATCGCAATCAATCCGCTTCGGCAACACAGAACGAGCGGTGGACAATCATTCAGTCTTGTTTGGCATCACGTACGGCCAGCCAACACACACATGACAGCTTGGGCAATCAACCCACCGCTACCCGACGTCCTGTTTCTCGTTTGACACGTATGACGACGACCGATCCGATCCTCTCTTTTCTGATACCCCTTCCCTTTTTCCTTTTTTGAATTTCTCGAAAGCACGTTTGTGGGCTTGTAATACGTTTACTTTTTTGTGTTTGATTCTTGCCAGGATTGGTGGGTTTAGACTCTATCGTTTGGGCTACCTTTCCTGCTTCTCCTATTGTTTGCACTGTTACTGTCTCACGGACTTCATCAGAAGTGGTTTCGATGAATGGCTGGCAACTGGACTAGCCGCCAAAAAAATGTTTTAGTTGTATGTTTATTTTACTTTTCCTCCTTTTGTTTGTCTTGCTTGTTTCTCAAGGTACTCTGGTGTTTTAGGGAGGTGATTGTGATTTTTAGATCGCTATGGGTTTTCTCTTATCCTGCGAGGGAGATGGAGCAGATGGAGGAAAATTTCACAAAAAAAATCAATTTGGGGGATCTAGACTTGGGTCGGCTGTCTGAAATACCTTTTTTTGTGTCTTCGTTTAAAATCTCTCCTTGGGACTACTTTTTAATTCTGCCTTTCTTGAGTTTGGAGTTGAGACGAGGGGAGTACGCGAGTACGAATTGTTTAGAATGGCGTTGGCTTTCTTTGTTTCTGTGGGGATTTGTTCCGAGTAGGGACTGAGTGGTTGAGATGTATTGAGTGTCCAATTTAATTGAGCGAAAACTCTCTTTGTTTGTGTCAGGGTTTGACTATGCGTGATTTGTGAACTTGCGACTACCTCATTGTAATAGTGAAGCTGTTGAGCGACCCTGAGGTACCAATCCTTGGTAGGTACATTCATCAAGTCTCCTTATTAAATCCTTGTTTCCTTGCCGACTATTGTCTGTGGATATGGACGTCCAATCATTCTATATATATAGCAAGTGGCAATAAATAGCCTCCATTGTTCTGTTGTTGCTAAAATCAATGAATTTATTATTCGAGAATTTTGAAAAGGTCAGACTCCTTGTTCTATTGGCCAGTGGCCTGGGGTTATCGTATTGTTTCTGAGATATTTGTTCTAGTAAGATGATAATTAGAAATACAACTTAGGTGTACTTATACCAATTCTTTCTGGGGGATATGAGTAACAGGTCTCCAAGCGCTTTCCAAGTGTCCAATCTTTAGTATAGCTTTTCTTAACGGCTTAACCATTGCTATTTCATTTTTTCGTTTTTGATTCATTTGTATATCTCCTCAATGTGCCTCAAGCTTCTTTTCACATTCTTACTCTCCCCATCAAACTTCGATTGATACTTTAACAAGGCACTTGCCACCCAAGGCCCACCAAAAGCAGATACCACACTGTCATCCATTCTAGAACCTTCATCTCAGTCCTCTCACTGCCACTCTCCGATGGCGTTCCTGTTGCCGTTACACGACATCCACATCCACATCCACCTCCTTCCACCCGTCCGCAAATTGCAACCCCAAGGCACCACGCAAGATCGCCAACTAACAATTCGTCTCCCTCCCACTGGTAAGACGCCACATTTCGCACGCTCAAATCGGAACCTGTAAATTAGGATCTTGCGTGGCCTTTTGCTCCCTTCCTCCCTTTCTGCGACGCGGATGTTGTGTTACCCTTTGATCGAGAAGGTAACACGACATCGGTCGTTGTTCTAGAACGGAGACAGAAGGTTGGGGATGGCTCTACGCTCTGCAGAAATGGGAAGAAGCATGGTTTGTAGATG